GGACGAGCGTATACTGGCATTTCGTCGTCATTGGATACATAACACTATGAAATTCCACAAGTTCAAAAAGATTTGAAGCCTGCAATTTATAGAAAATTTGCAAGACAAAAAGCGATGAAAATAGGGTCGGATTTCAACAGAAAATTGTGTTCAATACGCGACTGGTTTCTTTAGTAAAGTCAACAGATTCATTCACATGACAAGGCGCCCTAACTTCTCCAAATAGGATGTCAATATGCAAAAAAACATCACCAAATTTAGACAGAGCAGCAGACTACTTCAATAATTGAAGTAACCATATTATTATGTAATACATTGCGGATCGTGACTGCGTGCATTCGGCAATATTAACTCGTTGAAAGCAGAATTGCGTAGCTACCTTGCGACATGATTATCACATGCTTTGAGTCAAGAAGTAAAACATGTGCCAGTATCAGGAAGCCCACGTGAATTGCTGCTTAAATACGATAAAAGTCGTTTGGGTTTGAAATTACGTCTACTGGTTCGAAATATTATTGCTTCTATTTGCTGGGAATGTGTAATTTGCATAACTCAGTACATTGGCAAATACAAACTCCTATAGCCGCAGTAAATGACGATAAAATATTACGTATGGCCAAGTATGGTTGTCAAGTATCGAATTCCGAGTATCGTTGTGGCGCAAGAATGGTCGGTGGTCAGCTTACTAACCACAAAACAAGGGAGTTGATTAAACAAAATTGCTGGGTTAGCTATACATGATTTCGGACTGTCATAACCAGCTTTCACCAGCAGTGACGTGTACAGCAAAACATGAAATCGACAACAAAATAGGTTATCAGGTCATACCACAATCATACACCATACATGAGCAAAATTGCAATGATGGCTTATGATAAAAGTTAGTAAGTTTCTGACTATGAATTGAATTATTTGATTGTATTATAATATATATTTCAACAACATAGTTTGTTTTCAATAAATTCCATCAAATGCATTCAATTGCTTTCATCCGTTTCGAACTATGCAAAATTTCAATAACCCGTTTCTTATAATACTAAATAATTGATGTAAAACTTCCGAGTCACAGGGCACATCCATAAAAATTTCCTACCAAAATAACCCATATTTCTATAGTCGTCTCAATGGTTTTTTCTATTCCAAATTTAACAAACCATTTTAGAACAGGTATATTGGAAATAAACAAGGTCCATATTTGAATCGTACTTGAGGGCATACCATTTTTTAAATCAATGACTAACGGTACTAAAATGTGAGCAAGTGGCAGTGTGCGACGATGAGGGGCATTTAAAATACTTTCGTCGTCTACAAGTAAACATAGGCGCTCATTGTTGGTTCTGTGTGCTCAGCAAAGAGTCCTACATTTTAATCAACCATACTTGCGCAATTTCATGACGACAATAAAAACTGAAATTTTGGTAAGCGCTACCTGATTTTCATTCAAGATGCGGTATCACAAATGCCAATAAACGTTAATGCAGAAAAATAAAAACATTTAGCATTATTAAAATTACTAAAGTCAAAATATTTTGGATCATTTATTTTTTATTTTTTGAAAATCAAATGTGATATATTTCGCCAAATAACACAGCGATCTCGATGGATAAACAAAAAGTAGCATTAAAATATCATTACTGTATGGTTGTAATGACGTACGAAAACGGACAATTTAAAGAAAAATAGAGAGCAATTGTGGTGGAGATGGTGTAATAAGGCTTTCACTCGAAGAGCGAAACTTGAAAACGCATTTTCTCATATTTTTGACTTTGTTTAAACTTTTTATTGAATAAATTGGGAATATTGCCTCAAACCACGATAATATACCAGCAACTATTTCTTCGTAATATTTTCAAAAAATTTTTTTTTCAAAATTGCCTCTCTTCAAAAATTTTAACCCTCCCTCGTATTGTTGTTATAATAAGATATCAATATGCGACTGCAATTAGACAAAATTTTCGGATTTTAGTTCACCCGCTACATAATTCATGGAACGGAATATGCATATTAAAGGAAGAATAATTCATTGAAAAAAATCACAAGCTGTACATGTTACAATATCCACGAAGAGGTCATAACCATAATGTTATTTAAAATCAAATTTAGAAACACCTAAGCAATGTCCTCGTATAAATCACAAGATCTGTCGTTATTATTCCATCGGTATAATATCCCACGAGATCATTGTGTAGGGTGCTTATGGATGAGTAATACAAACAACCGCATAAAGTTGGCTTAATATAAGCATCACATCGCCTATTGGGTCATAGACAATTAACGCAATCGAAATGTGGGGTCGTGGCACACTGAAATAGGTCCAATATTAAAACAATAATATCATGCCGAGTGCAATACCAACAAATTAGGAGATGAAATCGTTTAAAATCACAAATATGTGGCTTAGACAAGTCATGAAAGTTGAAAACATTAATATCTTAAACGAGAGTGCAATACTCAAATATATGGACACAACGGCCAAAACGAAGTGTATCAAATCTTTTACAGTACGGGTAGTCTGACCACCAGATCTCTGAGATGTGATCACCGAACCACGGTAATCAAATTTAAATTTTAACGACGTCATCACACAAAACTTCAAAGTGAAAAACGAATCCCACAGAGCCCACAGATATTTTTGAAATAAATAAAAGTAATAGCCGTCTAGCGAACACAATAGGCTTCAACCACTGAAAAATTACAAAGCAATTGGCCAAGAAGTTGAAGAAAAAAGCGATGACAACAACCTAACACCAAAACGATCCCTAGGTAAACTTCGTGTCCAAAAATATTTAAACAATGATTATCGGGTTGAAAAAAAAATATTTTTGCGCAATCACTGAAATCACAGATCTCGATACGAATGGCATTACCACGACTACTCCTCTGAAAATCGAGGAAAATCAACCGCCAAGCTGCTTGACTCATAATAAAAGAGAGGGAAGCATATTGAAAAACAGTGATGTCATTGTCAATTTAACGAATGTTTCATAGTAACTCAATATATTTCCCGGCAATGATAATGTATCTTCCGGGGACAAGTATAAATATCATATTAATTTTGGCTGGAGATAACAAAAAGTAATGCAACAAAGGAAATTTTTAGAACTTGAAACCTTGAAGTTGTACTATAGACTGAAATAAACTAATCAATATGTTTATCATCTTCGGTGGCGTCTGTGGAAGCATAATTTGGCGTCTGACATTTAGACTTGAACGTTAGTTTTGATAGGTTATTTCAAACTCGAGTTCGCAAGAATTTTAAATGAATATGGTTGAAACTTGAATGATCATTACATTCACTAATATTAGAATTATTCATATTAGAGTAAAAATTATTTCTATTGCCATTTAGGTATATATATAGATATAAGGTTTTTATCCGGTAATTGGGGCAATTTCACAACACCTATTTGTATCAAAAAGCAAAATATCAGCTATTTTAGGAATCAAATTATTTGAAAGGATATTACTACACTTTAGGCAAAACGAAACAAGATTAGCATCTATCTTATTCAAAGTCGAAGAGTGGATATTGCGGTGGCAATCGATAAAGATTTTTTTCGGAAATAAGTTTTTTTCACAAGTCTGGTATATATGGTGATCATGAATATAGTATCTTATCCTATGCCAATGTTGTACAAGGAGACAAGACGCTTTTTCGCTGCATTCAAGCAGAATGACATAAAAAGAGATAATCGGTGTTTGGAGAAACGACTACCTATTAGGAAATGTTTCAAACACTATCGTGTTTCGTATGGAAAATATAGGCATACTCTGAAAACTGTTCAGCTCTCTGGTGAATATTATGTGTCACTAAAGAATCAGATATGGTATTATAAATTTAATCGTAGCTATTCACACATGAAAAACGAGCGCGGTGCGATTATTTATTTGTCATTTCATGATGACAACAACGTCATTAGCAGACAACATATTAAATTTTAATTAGGGTAACATCGCCAAGAATACGCAGAGGCGGACGACGAAGCTTTCAATTTAACATTCCAAAATTGTCGATATTTGAAAACGAAACCCAACTAGTACCTGTCTGTCAGATAACCCTATTGGTAACCCTTGGTAATTCGGGTCAAAAACCTCGAAATGTTATTACGGAAAACCCGCGATTTTAGATGGAAATATAAACACAATACAAATACATACACCGATAAGGTTTTTGCGGTAACGGGTCACCGAAAAACCGAAATATGTATAAATCATTATCAAATTCTTTCAGAATTCAGTTTCATAAGTGATACCTCAGCGAATATTTGGTTGAAGTCAAATTTCACCAAGGGCGACATATAATATATGATGATGTATATTGGAATTATTCAGGATATTTAGAATAAAGATAAAATAGCCGATAAGTCACTGATGGCAATTTTTTTCATATATGGATATTTCAGTACTGCGTACATAAAACTAAAAGAACACTACGCAATAGCAACAGCGAATCCACAACTTGATACACAGTTTGACAAAAATGAGTTAAATATTGAATTAACTGAAGAATCAAATTGACGAATCGTCCCGTGAGTCACAATAGTAACTTTCTCAATCGTGTATTATGGTTCTTAAATCGTTTTTAAAGATCAAAATTCCGTCCCTTATGTAACCCTACACCAGTAACGGATTACGTTGCAACACATGCATAACACTCATGCACGCGCTGAATCATTCAGCACAGCCGCTTGCCCTGCCGGGAAATAGTTGTCTGATGGCTTACTTGTTAAACTACAACCAACATGATCAAGCAAGCTAAATCGATGGTCCTTGTGATAAGCAATCATGGAAATTGCGAGATTGGCTAGTTTCCATTTTAACTCAACCGCAAATTTTTTACCGGACTTTGCTTGATCCAATGATTCCGTCTTTTCATTTGGGTGCGTTCCAGCAATGCCCATGATAATTCACAACAAGCTCATTATTGATAAATCACTTCGATTACTTGTAAATTATTATTAAATCCACGCACGGGGTCGGGTAAATGAAAACGTACGTACCATTTCCTTCGCAACGTCAACTGGAATGTCTTTTGTCATATCAAATGAAAATTCCAATGCTTCCGGTCGGTGTTTTTCATTTCGCTTTAGAGCATCATCGACGACAAGTCGAAGCATGACGTTTTTCTGTGAATAATTATTAAAAATATTAGTCAGAGTGGATATGGGAAAAGTAGTAAAAGATTTTTTGCGTGTAAAAAGCGCTGCAATTTTAGTGTATGATAAATTGCTGCACTCGAATGCATTGAATGCCTCTGTTATATATATTTATAAAAGTTTTGTAATATTGAAAGTGATCATGAATACACATTTTTGCTTTTATTGAGAATTTGCTTCTTTGTTAATTTCTTTTGAGCAAACATCGTGAAAAAATACGACGCACAATATATTTGTTCAATAGACTTCCTCGTTTTTATTTTCTAATTCGAAGTCCAAATTCGAGTGCATTTAATTTATTTGGTTCAATTTCAACCAGACTCTTCCAAAATCTTTCAAGTATGGACCAAATATGTTGCGCAAATAAGATTGCACTTCCTGGTTTCTACACAATGCTGAGGGACCGGCGAGTTACTATAATCACAACTTCCGTTTCATTGTCATTGTAGAAAATCGAAAACTTGCATAATTTTAAAGTTACGACATGAGCAACCGACCTCTTCAGGGTTGTCCTTTTGTTGCTCTTCGTTACTGGATAAGATTTTAGCATCGGACTCATTCTGCTGCTCGGATACCAGTTCTATTTTAAAACCGGTCACCTCGCCAAAGAACGGTACTTCCAATAATTCTTGTACTGTAAACCTGAAATCAAATTGTTGAATGTGAAAGCTGTCAGATGAGTAATTTGAACAAATATACGAGCGTCCCCATTTTACAACCCTAACAATTAAATGTTTTGGTGGCTAGAAACAAGAAAATTTCCAAATATGTTTGGAATAAAATAACAGTAAATAAAATTGATGAACTGCTGAATTTTCAGTATTACATCTGAGGACATTTCAGAATGTTGCGGACAATACGTTTCCGTTCTTTTTCTTACGACGACTATTCACGTCATACGCTCAGGACAAGGCCTTGTTTGATATTATGCAAATTATGCAAATTTTATATTATCCAAATATGTTTGGAATAAAATAACAGTAAATAAAATTGATGAACTCCTGAATTTTCAGTATTACATCTCAGGACATTTCAGAATGTTGCGGACTATACGTTCTCGTTCTTTTTTTTACGACGACTATTTACGTCATTCGCTCAGGACAAGGCCTTGTTTGATATTATCAGAGCATGTGAGGCGAGCTAAAAACTGTAAAACATATTCCAACCCATACCAATTTACAAGACCCGTACATCACTTTCCATTATCACAATCGTAAATTAGTCTGCAGTGGTCTCGACGTGCAGTTCCACACAAATAGTACAATTTGATTCTCACCTTTGAGTCCTGTCTCGACTAATGCAGCGGGATATGATATTCTTCATTTCTTCCGATTGAACTTTCTCTAAATTTCGTGGAGGCGCCCCTTGCGTTACTTTCCTATAAATTTGGGCGGCGTTATTGCACTCCGAGTATGGGTATTCGCCTGTTGTCATTTCCAACATGCACATTCCGAAAGCATATACGTCTACGCTTTCGTCGTAATGTTCTTCGTACATCTCGGGAGCCATGAATTCCGGTGTACCTAGAGTAAACTTAGAGTCACCAAACGCATCAATAATGAGGGCACAATTCTGCTATACGGCATTGGCCCTGCATTATTGCCGATTTTATACTCAATAGCCATGTCACGAATATGGCCATTATAATAATATATATGAACATGCTTAAATACGGTTGCATATTCTACATATTATAAGCGCTGTACTGCAAACAAAGATAGATATTATTCGCAACGCTGGATGAATTACATTTTCCTCTTTCTGTTTGAAGCCAACAATGAACGGTAAATCAATTTTGAAATAAATACTACCAAATTCAGGTGAAATTTTGATTGTCAAATTTCATTATTCGTGTTCACGTACAACAGAAGAAAGAGTCGAAAAAGGGAAATGGATATATTTCTTGTGTATGGCAGAAATAAAATGACTATGATTTTTTCCGACACCGCATTGACTAATTACAAAGTCACTTTTCAAAGAATTCCAGATCAAAATTTGTTTTCAATGTTGACGCAGTATTTCTTTGTGTGTCGCGGACACTCGGACAGGTAAACGTCATTTTTCTCGATTTAATCTATTGGCGAAAATAACTGATATGTACATCTTAGAATCTGTACGTCTCATGATTCACATATCGGTTGACCGATGAACCGATGAAACCGTTTTGATATATATATCTGTATGATAGATATATAATATAACACAGCACGTTGACAGTTTTCTATTGAAGCCAAGATGGTACAATTTCAATCGTTATAAATGAGGGAATCAAGCACCGAATTAAAATTAAAACGCGGGATGTGAAGGCATTTTGCTCAAATAGACTTAAGAAATTCGACGAAAATTCATGCAAAATACACGTATACGTATATACATGCACATAGATAAGTAAAATAACTCGGATGTTCAATTGGATTCGACATTATTACGAAAACGCCATTGATCCATACTGTCATCAGCATTTCATTATCAAGATTTAGTTAAAAGTAGTTATTTTACGCCATACGTTCAAAGAAATGAATAATAGAAGGCCTATCCAGTTCTTAGTAATATTACTAGAAATATGTCGTAGTTTATGTTTCAGATAGCAACTGAAATTACGCTATATGGAAAATTGAGTCAAAGAATAGTCACAGAAATAACCTAAAGTGGATGCTGATGCGTTGGAAAAAGCAACGGAACTGCAAATCTCGTCGAAGTTGAGTTTATACAGAATTTGTGTAAATCAACGATTAAACATAAAGAGCATAATCCGTTAACGGCAATAACAATGCTAACATATTGACATAAGATCACATGTTGTGGTTTACAATATTGTCGACTTAACGGGATAATCCATCTCCGAGAATTGAAAGTATTAATATCTTGTTATTACCGCTATCGTAATACTTTTAATATCCTAATCTACCTAAAACAGTAACATGCGGCACCAAGAAATTGTTTTTTTGAATTTTTAATAAACTAATAAATAACAAATGATGGTATTGCAAGGAATATTATTGAAGACAACTCCCTAACCATTGCTGGGTAGGCAAGAGCTGCTACAATTGTAATCGGGTGTAGTATCAGTCCATTTTATGGTCAAAAACGAGTGGGCTCTCCAGAAGTATGTGTAACAATATGGAGGTAACTAATTTTGTTCGGGGGTATATTCACTTGGCTAACACAAACAATCCCCAAACTCGTAATAAAACTAAAATTAGGAAAATCGGAATAAAATTATGGCTTAACCCTAACATGGTACACATACGACGGGAGTACCCAATGCATGATGCAACTATACTCACCTATGACGCTTTTCGCGAACGACGCGCTCTTGAGAGTAGCAAGTCCCAAATCTCCAATTTTAACTGATCCCGTGGGGCCAGTAATGAAAATATTGTCACATTTTAAATCCCGGTGTATGATTGGTGGGTTACGTGTGTGCAGAAAATGAAGACCTTTTAAAATTTGCCGGCACCAGTTGCGTAAAACTTTTGGCTTAACCGCTTTAAAACGACGTAAATATCTGAAAAAAATGAAACAAGTAATAAAGTCATATTTAAGTTAAAGCTAAGTTTGTGTTCGACGGAACTCGAGAGCACTTACGTTTTTAATGTACCAGACGTCATGAGTTCGGTGACCAGAATAATGCATTTCTTTCCACGGGGTGATTGGTATTCCCAAGAATCATAAAATCGCACAATGTTAGGATGTTGAAGCCCTTTCAGCATGTCTGCCTCTTCACGAAATCGAACTCGCTCTGCCCGGGATAATTTGTTGTGCTGAAATGGAAAATATACGTATGAACAGAACAGTGTAACCATGAAGAAACGAAACCCAGCTAATTTGGAATCTATTCTAGAAAGTATATAAGTTTCGTGCAAAGCGTCGTAGATTACTGAAGTACTTTTGGGTACAATTATACACAAACAGAAGTTCAAGTGTTCAATAGATTTTCTTCAATTTCGTAGAATAAGAAAATGTGAGAGTGCGGGTTAATATTAGTCGTATTTCCTACTGGATAGGCATCATTGGCGATATAGGAGTGATACGAGATGAGGTAACGGCCTAATGTACCGTAAATGGGAAACAACAAGTTTTCGTCCATCAATTGTAAACAAGATATGGACAGATTTATTATTGCATGGTCATTACAAATTCTTACAACATAGTCGAGCAACGCGGATGGCATGCGATAGTTTCACGAATAATCGCCTCAGGGTGCGCAATACAGACGATTCAAAAACAATGAATTCCATGGAATTTTGAGACGTGCGATAATTGGATTCCATGTGGTCGAAAATGGCGCATAGCCAAGTGTAAAATATTTGTTATGTATGTTTAATTCAAGTCTCAAGACGGGCGTTTTCAAATGATCAAATAACCACGATTTAAATACGGTAAAATGTTATCAAATTAGACATATTTTAACACAGTGCTTGTGTTGTGTTGCGGCGATCTAGGGCTAATCATTACTTCCTAATAGGCTCTGTTAAACGATGCGTTATCGATTGCGCACATATGTTTTGGAAACCCGCCTATGTAATCACTGAAAATTGCTTTTGCAATAGGCCCAATATCGTTCCTACATTCAGAATCAGATCCAATATAAAATGCTATAAAACATATAATAAAAATTTACACATTTTGATGTTTGATTCCTCTGATAATTTTGACATTGAACTGAGCAAAGCAAATAGGCCTTGTAGATTCAAGACGTAATGTTTGTTAATTTAGTATTCAAGATTATAACCTATAAAATTGTGTGAGGTCTGTCACGTCAAGAAATTGGATCACAAAAATATAGTTATACAAAAAATCGTAAATCATTGATTTATTTTTAAATGTGCCTGAACGTATATCGTTAGTTTTACATTTACCAATGCGAATTGTATTCAAACCAAAGTTGAAGTGAAATTTCATCAATCAGGTAGAAGGATATTGAATGCAATAACATGTACAATTAAAAAAACTAAATATGGCAAAGTAAGTTTGTTTCCGGTCATTATTCAGACAATTGCAATAGTGTCGCGTGATGAGACAATCAACTGTTGTTGTGACAGTCATTTTCAGTAATCTAGATGTACGTCCAATAAAACTGTGATGAGGGCATGATAAATTTTTGCAACTCAGTGAAACCACCCAATCAAATGACCAGCCTGTCACGATTTTGAACAATATACTACAATCCGCATATTTAGCTGGGCATGTGTTGGTCAGTCATCGATTCGATCATAATTGATGACAAGCTCAATAAATCTTTCTCGGAATCTGAAACATACCAACCCACAGCACACCCCTTCTTGTACGCATGCTTGCTCGCTCGTGAATAAATAAGAGCGAAGGAACGATTGAAAGCCTGCAGGCAGTTACCGTACGAAGCGCAATCGTCCGTTATTCGACAGCGATGATAACTTTAGTCCAGTTATCCTTTGTTAGTTTCAAAAGGTCATGGGTTCATAATTGTGAGACACAAATACCCACGATAAATCATATGGACAAACGAAGATTACATAAACTGGTGTAATGTACCAGAAAAGGCAAGATACATAAAGTGAAAATTTGGGTAAAGCATAAGAATAGGAATTCGAAATTCGATGAATAAAAAACCAGTGACACCCATGCACAATTCAAATAGGTTAATTTCGAATTGGTATCGTATATCTATACAGTATGGTATATGTAATTAATAGGTAATACTTCACCAAAATAACCTTCAGACTTTTGAAATTTTTTAATTATTTAACAATTATCTTAACAGTTTCTGTGATACAAATTGAGTAGCGGGTAAACAAACTATCTCATTTTGCACAAATAGCCTACTTCCAATGGAGGATTGCTGCAGTTACTTTTCGACAAATTTTAAGGCAAAATAATTGTTAGCGCAAGATAAGTTACAGTTTGGAGTAAAACAATTCACTAGTTAAGCACTTTTATAAAACAATCATTACCTGCTTGTAAAAGATAATTATTTGTTTTATAGTTTGATACAAAGTGATTATATATATTTCTTAAAACTATTCAATTTTACAAAATCGCATTAATAAACATTCAAAAATGTCCTGTTCTAATTTCAGCAGCCAATTACATGTAGCCTATTGCAACAAAAAGCCCACTTTTAGGAAATTCGATGAAAAAAAATGTGTAATGATGATTTTAATAAATTTTTATACATTTAAACCCTTTCACAACTGTTTATAGTTCAGATAATAAATATCTCGTCATTCACAGCCGAAATCCGTCCAGTCTACAACCTTCATAAGTTTATTGATTGTAATCGCATGTGTCATAAACCATAGGGAATTCAGAAAGCAAATGAATAGTGATTGAGGCATTGTAATAAAGTCGTATGTAATGGAAAATATGAAGTAATATGGAAATAATTGATCAGGCGCAGTTGTATTGATTGGTCATATGTAATTTATTTGTTTTATATTATGTATAAATGAGAAATTTGTAAAAACTGTATTTCTCAAAAGTCAGTATTCGTTTTGATTTTAATATTTTAAAATTTGTTTCACCACACAGCAAAATGTCAAATTCGCCACTAAAGTGAAATTTCATATCACGAAATACACTACAAATCATCAGAGTATTTTCCACAAATAAAAATGTCCAAGAATGCAATACTATTGAGGTGTGAGAGTGGGCCTTATTGAGTAAAGAACAATATGTTGCAAATTAGAACACAACCATACACATGCCCAAAGCCCAACACAGGAATGAAATATTTAATCTCTGCTCGATACAAGTGAGGCACGTGATAACGATGTTATGGAACATTGCAAACATTCAATAGCGAAGCATATCATATTACAATGCCGGTATTTTATTATGAGAATGTCCTTTCAAATCCCAGGTACATTTGTATCAATAATGATAGCCATCAGAGGAATGAAGAAAGAGTGAATAAATTCAGCAATGAAGGTTGGAGTGGGGAAATGTATGTTTATTACGTTCAAACAAGCAAGGACATTGGAGTCTTTACATAACAACTTGCACTTGATTTTCAGGTTGTCCTAAAATTCAAAAGCACCATCTCTATAACAGCCCTAATAGCCTCTATGAAGAAGTCTCCTTAATAATACCTATGTTCAATTCCATTTCTGAAGTGAAGAAGAGTATTTTACCAGACGTTAGAGAAAATATTCATTTCCTATTCCAGAGTAAGCATGCTTTTAATTGGAATATAAAAAAAAACTGATGGAAAAAGCTTACATTTTTGAATTCAATACTATCATTAGTGATATATCTCACTTAAAATTCAATTCACTCACCTGCAATTCGCACCAAGCAACAGCGACACCAGTATCCGTATCCAGTCCTTTAAACACAGTTTTGAAACTACCTCTTCCCATTTCAATATCAAATTTGAGAAATCGCATGTCTGGGGATTGTGCAACTGCCGCTGCTTCATCCTCAAGATTTGCAACTGTCCCATCTGCATTTTCTTGTTTACCTACAAAACAAATTAGAAAACAATAAATACACATTGTATAGAGACATTATTAGTATTGGATGTAACTCAATTAAAGCAAAAATGACAAATACCCAAACATTTTTGAAAAGATGAACAAATTGGTATCAGCAATTTTAACCAGTATGTATATTCAGTGTTTAATTCAAGGCTGGCGAACATCGAGTCATGACGTTTTGTTGGAGCTGAAGCCATAGCAGGAGCATGGCTTGCCATAATAGACAGAGCTACCAGAAACATTAGTGGCTTCAGCTCCGAATCGTCTATTTATATTTCCCATTTTCGAATAGTCATAAAAATAATAAAATCTATCCTCCTGTTTTTCGTTTTCAATTTTATTGCCGATCGTAATGTTCAATTAATAATATCAATTTGAAAAGTTTCAAGTTAAATTTGAATTATGATGCCATGGTCATTGTCAAATCTGATCTATACAATTTTAAATGGTAATAATAGGTACCAATGTAAAAAAAAAACATGTCAAAAAGAGTCTTACACAAATATAAAATGTGATCTGTATGAGTTTATTAAAATTTACCTGATAATTTTAGGTCAATTTCAGTGGGGTTTTCAGAAACGTTTTGTGTTTGATTTGCAGTATCATTCGATGTATTTGATGCACCTTCAGGTAGAATTTCTTTTTTATCAGTTTTATCAGAATCTGGCTTTTCACCTTCCGATGGATTTTTAATAGATTCTGGTTCCAAACCATTTTCTGGAATACCGTTTTTCTCTGACATAATAGTCTCAGTAACAGTGTCTTGTTTGCCTTCACTCAAAATATCTTTCTTATCAGTAACTATGGTGGAATCAGGTTCTTGTGCAGTAGAATCGATAGTTCCAGAATCGTTATATTTTTCAGGTTGATGATTGGCGGTCTCAGATGGTTCAGATGAGCCATTTTTATCCGTAATTTTGTTTGAATTTTCAGGATTATGTTCTTCTGATGATTCATAACTTCCATTCGATACCATTCCATTAGTGTTTTCCTTATTATCCAAGTTTTGATCATGATTATGTTGTTCTCCATTTAGGAGACCCAACTTGTTTGAATTTGATACATTTTGATCATTTGAGTCTGGTTGAAATATAACTGCCTTGTTGTGTCCAGAGATCAAGCTCTGTTTTTCGTTTTCATTTTTATTAACGGTCGCCATTTTCTTGATGTCATCATTTTTCGCCATTCTTTGTGCATTAGCGGAAACACAACAAAATGGAGCCCAAGGGTGCATATGAACAAGAAAATGTATAACTGACAAACCAATTCAGTTTGCTGTTATATCAACAGCAATGTCCAGTTTATGAACTGTCTTGGGTTTGCTCAAAACAAGTTTGTTTGGCAAAATATATAATATTTGTGTTATCGAAGACAGATGAAAAGATTGGAGAAAACAGTGCAATAGACGTAGGCACCGTTTTTGTTGGCAATGTATGCCACTGGTCGGAAATAATCTCCCGCCATTACATCAATAAATATCTACATATGCCCTACATGAACAAGAACATATTAAGAAGATAATTATCATAAATAAAGTTAAGATAACATTTCATCATACTTTCAAAATAAAAACAACTGACATTCTGACCTGATAGTAAAAACCTTTTAATTGGGACTGCATTTTGCTTTTTCTGATAATGGTCTCAACTCTCAAGCAAATTATTTCGCTACTTGGATAACACAGACTAGGACTTTTTTGTTCAGACTGTTGAAATTACATAAAATCATTTCTTAAATCCCAATATAGAACAGAGCAAACAATCATTCAGAGCAATCATTCTGTAATTTAATCATATTGTGCTAGACACAATTGAGTAGAGCTAAAATAAGGTGTATAAGAAGATCACTTATACTGCTTTTATTTCGGTTAAAAATAAAGAAGCCCTGTTCAGCTTGCAAAAGAGAATTAACAATGGATGGCTAAATTATCCTGATTTTGAAATAAGCATCACACATAGTCCATCTTAGTTTTGCGATGATGAACAAGTTTTGAGGGGATTTTGAACAAATGTCAGAATGTACAGTTGAATGACTGAATCACTTAGGCCTAATTTTATTAGATGTTTAAGCAAATATTTTTTTACAGTTTTAGGAGATCAGAAATAATGTACCATGACAATTAGAAATGAAACATACAGACATATCAACTTACACCCTATAACAGTATAACCTTGTTAAGTAAAAACCATCAAGAGATGATAGGAAACTTAAAACAAAGATTTTTGTAAAACATGACAACCATTCAACCAAGAAAACAAGAAATTACAGCGTTACTGCCTACTGAAATAAAATATGTTAACGAGCACAGTGTAACAACTGAATTATATTTTTAATTGCGTAAGGTTGGTTCTAAATTAAATCTATCTCTTTTGCCCTTGGATTGTTCAGCTGTATGGCCTTGCTCAATAAATTCATTTCAGCTCCATAACCAGGTAATCCAACGTTAAACTCATTAAGAACTAGACTATGTTTCTCGACTTGCACTGGTAGAAGTATTAGTATGAACTACACAACAATCTAGCAGTACATGCCGTACTGTTCCAATTTCGGCTATTTCAGTATTTGGAACTCAAAGAAATCGCAGTCCTTTTTTTATTTTATTTTTTTCGCAGTCCGACTGAACGAGACCGTCTTTGCCTTTACAACAGCAGACATTTAACAAGTCAAATCATTGAACAATGGGCAACTCAGTAGCGCCGTTCGGCGTTGGTGGTTGGAGAAATGTTCGTCGACGTAATGTATCTGTTCCTGATATAGAGGACTTGCACGGGTCACGTGACCTTGTTACTGGACGGCAATAAAACAAAAACGTTCATTTGGCTCCTGTCAGTTGCAAGTCGGATTATACGTTTCCGTTTTGTTTGGCCGTTGAAAATGGTTATTTCGTATTGTTCCGCTGGCTGTACGTATAGTATAGACAACGAAATGGATCTTCAGCTATATTCCACTGTTTTCAAAAGATCCGGAACGTCGCGCAATGTGGATATCATCTATTGGCAGGACTGCTTGGTGTCAAGTCCAGAAGCCATCTTACTTGTGTTTCACTGTTTGCGGACAGCACTTCGTTGATGTGAGTCATGATGTGCCGTTATCCAATTTTTTAAATATTCATAAGCTCCCTCATTTCAATGGAAAGCAGATAACAAACTACTGTTATTGGGAGGCTTAGGCGTAGGCCTGCTTGCAGACTTGACTCGTGTAAGGTATTAATCAATAATTGCCATAAGGTATTGTTTCCCTAGTTAGCTGGTAATCTATTAGTAAGTGTGAAAATTTGAATAGATAACTAAAGTTTAACGCCAGTGCAAATGCAAAAAATAACCAGAATTCAATTGAATTCTCTATCTGAGAATACGCTCGCCACCACATCTCTGATCCCCCTTGGAGTTTCACAGGTTCCAATCCCATGCGGGGATAGTTATGTGCGAGGGGATTGCAGCTCTCCTCCCACTAAGGGTGGTTCACACGACCGCTGGTCGATTACGACATCCCCCACCATCAAGTCCATGCTTCTAAACAAATAACTGGCTAACTAATCCCGACATAGAATGGTAATCGTACGATGTTGCACCTTGCAATCTGTCCCCAACCACAGATAAATTCTATCCTAAAATCTAACCACATTGGTAGGCATAGTTGCGTTTTAAATTGAAAGAAATCTTCATTAATGGTCAGAAGGTGTTGTCTGATTGTTTTGTTAGTTAGCAGGTAATTTATTACTGATCTGATATACAAACTTGGCACTGTCAAATGATGATTAGTGTTTAATTTATTTTCAGGAAAAAGGGAAGATAACCCATTATCAGCTGCTTACATGTCCCATCGATATTTGAATTTTCGCCATCCCCAGAGAAGAAGAGAATAGTAAAAAAAGGAGGATTTTGAAGAAAGGCAAAAGGCAGGACCATTTCAACAAATTCTGTTAACTTGTATGCGTTGCAATATTAATTCGCAGTTGTTAGCATAAACATTTAATGTGTCTTTCGACTAGACCTACCACACTTTAAAAAAAGCCGCCTACACCCCTTTTCACTAGAACCATAATACTGTAAAATATTTGATAGAAATTACCCCCGAGGCATCATCTTTCATTTGAAAGGGCTGTGGAGGCAGATACATTTTTTACTCTAAATTATGGAAATGTTACTTCCAGGTTATCTTATCCTTGCTTATAGATATCTTGAGGTTAGTGACTCCAACTGACCCATGCATGCCACACTGAAAATTCTCTTGTGTACCCATAAAATAAGGCTGTTGGAGCCTTCAGACCTTGAAAACAGTCGAATCTGAGCACGATGGATTCATGTGAAACACGTAATATGCATTTAGAGGCAAAAATATCCCATCCTGTGCAGCACCGATCCACAACCTCCTGCCTATGGAATCAAAACATTAGACAAATTGGTGTACTGTGCACATTCACAAATTTTTGCGAATCAAGTGTGCCTTTTGACTAAAGAAAATTTAGCATTGAAATGGTCAATCTCAATATCAACCTAGTATCTGCAGATAAAACCAATTGTTTTTTAAAAATACATTTTTGATGTGCTTTATTTTTCAAATATAATTTATAAATTATAATTACTGTAAAGTGTGTGATACATTTGGTACCATGAATACTATTGCAAATTAGCTTGGGTTACACCCCTCTCAAATAAAAGTTTAGACTCTTAAGTCGTATCCAATAATATTCTTTAAACAAAAGGTTGCGGCTAGCCGGCTACCCATCAGAATTTCCTTTCAGATCACAAAGTCGCAATATTACGCCTCGCTTAAGTTTCATTGGCAACTGTATCTGGTTGTAGTATCGGTGTCCAACGTAGACTGAAACCTTCACGACCAGACCCACCCGAAACAATTTTTTTTCTTGATAGGGTCGTCTTGAAGTTGATTTCGTTAAAGCACAATGGACACTTTATCTCCACCAATCCACAGTAATGACAAGTTACTTTGTCATTACGATAAGCATCAATAAATGGATACTGAGGATGTATTATCAAGTCACGCAAGCTGAGGTCTTGTGCCACTGTGGTCTTGTTGCAACTTATACTTTGCCATCCATCTATTCCATGGTCGCACCCATATCTGTAAGATAATGGATACAGATAAGAGTTTTCATAAAATCTAACGATCAAGGAGTGTGAAATTTATGTCCATATCCCACCACAGCCACTAGTCGTAAATGAATTTGATTCCGGGTAGCATATCTTTTTTACCAATGACAATAAAAAGACATTTTGAATCAGTTGTACAAGCACCATTAGGATAGGATTTATCTGGGAGGGAGCCAGTTATTTGTTTTCAAGCATGGACTTGGATGGTGGGGAATGGTCGTAAACGATCAGCGGTCATGTGAACCACCCTCGGTGGGAGTGGAGCTGCAATCCTCTAGCACATAACTATCCCCGCATGGGATTGAAACCTGTGAAACTACCAGGGTGATCAGAGATGCGGTGGCGAGCGTATTCCTAGATGGCGAATTCAATTGAATTCTGGTTATTTTTTGCATGACCCCTGGTGTTAAACGTTAGTTATCTATTCAACCTTTCACACTTAGTAAAAGATTACCTGCTAATTAGGGAAACAATACCTTACAGCAATTGATTATTAATTCCTTACTGTCTTACACAAGTCAAGTCTGCAACTGCAAGTAGAACCACGCCTAGGCCTACTAATAACAGTAGTTGAATATTAGATTAATTCCTTACTGTCTTACACAAGTCAAGTCTGCAACTAGGCCTACTAATAACAGTAGTTGATTATTAGATTATTGATTATTAATTCCTTACTGTCTTACACAAGTCAAGTCTGCAACTGCAAGTAGGCCCACGCCTAGGCCTACTGATAACAGTAGTTTGTCATCTGCTTTCCATTGAAATGAGGGAGCTTGTGAATATTTAAAGAAATTGATAACGGCACACTATCACTCACCATCAACGAAGTGCTGTCCGCAAACAGTGAAACACAAGTAAGATGGCTTCTGGACTTGCAGACTTGACACCAAGCAGTTCTGCCAATAGGCAATAGATGATATCCACATTGCGCGACGTTCAGGATCTTTTGAAATCAGTGGAATATTACTGAAGATCCATTTCGTTGTCTATACTATACGTACAGCCAACAGAACAACGAAATAACCCTTTTCAACAGCCAAACAAAACGCAAACGTATAATCCGACTTGCAACTGACAGGAGCCAAATGGACGTTTTTGTTTTATTGCCGTCCAGTAACAATGTCACGTGACCCGTGCAAGTCCTCTATATCCAGAGCCATTATATATTGGCTCTGATATATCCTCGTGATTTCGAATTTTAATATTGCTTCACTCGAAGCTGTCGGGATAGTCTTAGATAAATCTTTTTTTCTAGTCCTAACTTATTTTGGGACCTCTGAATCGCGAAATCGATGAAGAAAGTTACTAAAAATCAACGCCACAATACAACTAAAATAGCCAGACACAATATTGACTAAAATAAAACATTAAGATCAATTGTGAGAACGAATGCGACAGAAAGAGTGATTTAAGCATTTGCGATTTCCAGGACCTAAACAGAGTTTCTCACAGATAGACCGACATGCACCCTCGAATCGCTTTGTTTATCAAGGACATAAAGTAAACTTAAACGCGATTGTGGAGATGATACAGACGTCTGTGTACTAAGTAGGCTACATCGATACTGCTGACATACTGTAATTATTAATTAAATAAATTAAATAATAATAGCAACGTCATCATGCGTTCAAGTGGAAATACGAACAATATTTTCACTGTTTTCGTGTTGAAAGATGCTCCGTTTTATATGCTTTCAAGCTTGATCGATTGCCTACACATAGCTTGAATCAACGACTAACATACCGGCTTGACTAGATTAGTGGTTCCCAACCTTTCTAACCTGGCGGATCGGTAAAATTAAATAAAATGTACTCGCGGACCGGCAAAAAATGAAATGAGTGGAACAGAAAATATTAACATATATTTGTGTAATGTCAGACAACCAATATGCTTTTAGAAAAAAAAAAGGTACACTTAAAGACATTTCACATGAGAAAAAACTATCAAATAATGTGCCAGCCAAAAATTGAAATGGGTGGAACCTAAAATAATAACATATATTTGCGTAATAAATGCAGTACTGGGCACCCATTATGCGTAAAAATGCACACATCTCACATAAAAACATGTACATGCCAAACATCTACAAACACAATTAACTCTAGTGACTGTTTCGTTTTCAATACAGGATTGCAAACGAGGCATCAAAAAGAAAGGTTTTGCAACACGTAGCTCTGCAGCGGCTCATAGTCAATTTACTTGCTTCGTTTTAAAAATTAAAGCTAGAAGTAACTGGTTGAAAATTCGGACAACAGTTTGATTGCTCAATTACTTAGCGTTGGGTATTCGTTATCAAGAGAGCTCAAGAATGAATTGTGACATTGATTCTTCTATATATAAATCTGAACTGTAAAGTAGAGGTTTCATCGGGTTCATCATAACAATCCTTCTGCAGTTGATCGACAAAATGAATTTATATTACAATGATAGGGTCGTTGCTAACTTGGCTCCAGGATAGAAAAATCCTTCTGGGCATCACCAGGAAAATATTTCATCGGCCCCACGTTTGTTTTGCGTCTCGTGACCACCTGCAGGGTCGCAATATGTTTATATTTTGCTGGGTGTAATGGTGAAGATCTGGAATAATATATATACCAGGGATGGCTAACCTTTTTCAATGAATGGGTCAAAAATTATAATTTCACCGCGGAGCAGAAGAGAGTGGGTCACAGATATTTAATCATATTTGTATCTATAAGAAACTTCTGAAAAAATATTATGAACCTCATGTTGGTGTTGGTGTAGTTTTGGGCTTTACTTATGCAGCACTTCTATCAGGGACTTTATATGGCACTCGATTTTATAAAAATTAGATTAGAAAAACACGGTTCCAAAGAGTTTGGAGGTAATTCCACTCTGATAGTGTTATAACATTTAAACCACATTAATGCACTTTTACACTGCCCCATTGTTATTTCAGATTTCTAGGTTTTTATTTCAAGTCTGAAAGATTTTGTTTTCTCAACGGCGTTGTAGGCAAAAAACTAATATAAAGCGGTTGGGAACTAGACTAGGTCAATTGTAGTTCGCCATGGTGGCTTTAAAAATGTTTTCGTGCTTGATTGTTCGGACCCTGTTTCATTGCGAATATTTCAATGCACAAAAATATAATTTCAACCAGTTGCTTATACCAATGACATTAAACAATTAATGTCAATTAATGTTTAATGTCATTGCTTATACAGAGCCTACTACATAGCAGATGCGCAGACAAACACTCTCACTTTCGACGTGGCCATCAAAATAACTAATTTATAAATGATAAATGAATAATTAGCCAGTGGCACAAAAGCGTATAACATGTTATTCATTATTCAATATATTTTTTGTTTTATCTTTAATACTAACGAAGTCCGGTGAATGTTATAATATTATTTTAGTTGACTGGTAGACAGATCAAGTTTCCTTGTCGAGGCCTTCCTTATTTTTCCTTAATGGGAATGTACTAACGAATTATTACGTAATTTAAATTTCGACAGGGGTTTCTTTGTCAGTAACTTTTTCGATAAACCTGCCCCGCGAATGCTGATAAAACGATTATTATGGGAAGAGTGTTCGAAAATTTAGTGAATTCATGTATGCGTAATCTTAAAATGTTCGAAAATTGTGTGTATCTTTCCTAATTTTTTATTGCTGACATTTAAGTTGAACAATTACAGATACGTACAATAAAGCGTATCATTATTTAGCCACCATTAGAATAGATTGTGTAGTCGCTGTCACGTCTTCTGATAGCCTGGAATCTATACGATATAGACGGGAGTCACGGGGACACAATGGAAACGTGATATAATTGTCATCGCAGGTTAAACTGCTGTTTCCACATCCTTCACTGTGAATGCATTATGAAAATGGCGTTGCGTGTTCAATCGTCAAGCATGGGTTTTTCTTGCATCGTTCATTTGACGACACCTACTTGTAAAATTCAGAAGTTATTACCGAATTTTCGGAACATTGTCGTATTTTCAATTTTCTCATTGGCAGAGGAAAGTGCATGGAGCCTGGGGCGTTATTACCCGCTCACTTGACGATACTTCCTCCTAAAATTCAGAAATTATTACTGAATTTTCGGAACTGTCGTATTTTCTCATTGGAAGAGAAAAGAGCATGGGACAGTGTGAGCACGACTTTCTTCAGTTCTTTTGGATTAGGGCACATTAGGCTTGGCTTACTCATACAGTCATAGGTAGCAATGTTGGTTTCTCAGTACTTTTTCTTGGCTGCTAGGGGTCAGATTTAAGTATTAGTCTATAAACTATAGAGATCTCAGAACTCGCTATAAATATTCTTCGGGGCTCCTGAAGTATGCGAACCAAGATGGCGGACATCGGAACGTAACATGGGTAACAGGTTAGGGTTAGGCGATAATTTTTTTCCAATTTTCCTTATTTTAGTCCTATTATCAGTTCGAAGACTAGCCAAGAGCCTCCCGTAGTATTTATACCTAAAATTATAGCCTAACTAACCCTAACCTAGTACACATATTAAATTCCGATGTCCGCCATCTTGGTTCGCATACTTCGGGAGCCCCTAATCTTCAATACTTAGCCTATAGATATTCAAATTTAAACAGTCTGCCATACTGTATATATAATACAACAATCATACAACAGTACAATGGATGATATTACAGCGAGATCATGGGACATTGCAGATATTCTAGCCAGGCAGTTGAACTTGAAGTAAGTGGATGCTCATTTTTCAGTGAAAGCATTACAATTTTAACTCTATTCTTCTCTACGCAGACCATGTCCCATGGCATACAAGTTTTCGTCGAATAATTCTGTTTTATGATTGCTTGATTGATTATGAAACTACTTTTCTATCAAATAATTTACAGGTCTGGAGTTCTATATATTTCTAGAAAACTGTAACATATTGCAGATCCGCAGATTGCCATTTTGAGTATAAACCTTCCAATTCCTTAAATGTTTTATTTAACAAATCATTTTCATTACAGTCGAGATGTTGTCATCCGGTTGATTAACATGGTTGAAAATGACCAATGCACAATTCCATTCATAGCTCGATATAGAAAAGAACAAACGAATGGAATGGATCCAGATAGTTTGAGAAATTTTACAAATCTGCTGAATGAACTAAGGTAATGGCAAGCAAGTATGTGAATAATTGGAAATAATGGTATTTAAAAAAGTAATGGCAATCAAGTATGTGTTTAATTAGAAATAAGGGTTTTTAAAAAAGTAGTCACTGTCTTTTTCAAATCCATGTTGACATGACATGTTGTTGTCTCAAGTACACCTAAACTTTTTCAACTCAATGACCTTGCTTAAGCGTTAGGAACACCCCTGCAATCGCACTTATGCTTACCCTGCATAGGTTTGAATCCTCTTGGGGATAATTATGTTTGAGGATTGCTAGACTCCTCGCGTAGTTTAGGGGTTCATCGTTCATGTAACCACTAGTTGGTTACTGCTTCCTCCACCATCAAGTCTGTATGTCTAAGCAAAAAAATGGTTGACTATATCCATGGTAATCGAACGAGAGGCTGTAATGTGGCACTTTTCTCTTTTATGGTATGATTATAAAATATTTCCAATTTTCACATGTTGTAGGCTATCATACTTTTAAAATGCAGTCAATTTTTGATGTAACATTCTTTTATATCACTATGAGCTAATTTTTGTGCTATTGAATTTGTATCAGTTCAAAGTATAGTTTTGTTTCATCCTTACCACTGTCTAATACTCTGCCTAAAATCCAATTTCTGCTAAATTTCCTAGGTTGGTACAGAAAAAGTGTTCGACTATGATAAAAACTTTACAAAAACAAGGAAATCTCGATAAGAAAACCCAATTATCATTACAAAGTGCACAAACAACAGATGAGTTGGACCACGCTTTTGCACCATTCAAAGGTATTATTGACTAATGTTTTATATTAATAACACGCTTTCATTCACATTCATCACACACTCACATGATCACCACCCATAAAATTTGCAGCTTCGATCCTCTGACTGTGATTAGGATTACTATTTTTATCATCCAATTCCCCTAAAATGTTTGCTTTTAGAAAAAGTTTTTGATAAACTTAGCACGTTTGTATTGATATGGTTATTTTATTGTTACAGAGAAGAAAAGTTCGCTTGCTAATAGGGCACGAGAGCTTGGACTTGATGAAGCTGCAAATAGCGTATTGTCAAAACCAAATGAGGTATTATTTATTATAATTTATAATTTTCTCTTATATGATTTATTAAACGCAAATTGAAATATTAGTCATAGTTATGATACTTTTTTAAAAGCATTGTACTTGTTGTGCTCTGTGGTTGGCAAAGTGTTTGGATTACTCGTCGTCGTCGTAGGGTCGGTCACATAACTGCTGGTTGGTGATAGCTTCCTTGACCAGCAAGTACATGCATCTGAAACAAATAACTGGCTCACTATTGCTATAACTGACATTCAGTGATAACTGGACGAGTAGTCTTAGTTTTCCATAAGATTGGGTTTTCTTTTGAACTTTGATTGCTTCTGGGATGAATATTAAATTCTTTCCCTCCTTTTTCTATCTACCGTCACATTAGCTGTGTTCCAGAATACCAGAAAGTCAAAAAAATTAGGTTTTGTGCAACTATCAAATTCGTTGAAGATTATATCATATTATTCCAAGCTGTTCCATTTTGTAGAAACTGTGGGATATGAAAATTATATTTCTAAGATAAAATTTTAAATAAATAATGGTGATGTTGCAATGCTTGTTGATGTTACTGAACTTTTTTATTCTGATTTGAATACATTCAGGTTGACTTACGAAAATGGGTTGTTAAACGTACGGAAGGTAGATCAACTTTGTCCGAGGTTGAAACCGGTGTCAAGTACATTATCGCTGATTTAATTTCAAAAGAAAAAGCTACAATGGACAAAATTCGCGAGGTCTTTCAACCATACAGAATGCAGTTGGAATCAAAGTTATCGGCTTCAAAAAAGAAGGAAATGGAAAAAAAAAATTCTGAAACAAAGAAAGCTGGAACGACTGATTTAAAACATGACTTCAAAAAGGGTCAAGATGAAGATATAACCAAATACCAAAGTTACCACGATTTCATATGCAAGCTTCCGTCACTAAAATCATATCAAGTATATAATTCCTGTTTATTTTTCGTTGTTTTAGAATTATCGTGGTTCAGGTCTCTTACTATTAATTTAGCCTCCGCCACCAACTTGTTTCCAAAACTTCAATGTTGAATTGGTTTAATAATTTTTTATTCTGATATCCCAACCTGCGGCGGTTTTCAAACTTTTATGATCTGCGGCCACTTTCAAAAGACTCTACACACTTTATGGCTCCCTCCCTTTCAATAAAATAATACTAGTTTTGTTTTTATCGGATTTCAATCAGGTATTTTATTCGCCATGTACTATAATAAAAAACCAACAAATTAACATCAAAGTATGAATGAATTGTATTCAAAGTATTTAAACAAATAACGTTCAGTTCACTCCAAAATACTGTCGTCGTTGAAAATTGAATACCTTCTTTCGCAGGCCCCTAAAGGTAGAGGGCCCAATTTGAGAAAACCTTGAACCGACCAATCCTCCCAGTTTCCCCCCTGAACTCTATTTCCATTGGTCACAGACTCACAGTGCGCTGAAGTGTGTTAAGCAGCAAATTTTACATGCCTGCATCCCGCTGCCTTTTTTCAATGTTGGTTTAAATCATGGGTGTGCAACATTTTTTTTGTCGGTGGGTCATATAACCAACTTTAGATATCTAAATGGGCCACACAAATAAAAATAGTTTTTCAATGTTCGTGATAGGGAAAAACCTGAGGCAAAAACTGAATAGCTTGGCGGGCCGGATTTTGGCCAGCAGACTGCCTAATGCACACAGTAAATGCGTTAAAAAATTATATTTTAACTTTTATGAATATCAATATTTTCAATGATTCTCTAATCCAAAATCTGCGAACAGGTTAGAACAGAACTATACGGTTTCGATTTTAGACTTTTAAATGTGTTTTATCTCTTCTATTTATATTCATAAAGGTTTTAGCCATCAATAGGGGCGAAGCGCACAAACATCTCACTGTCAAAGTTACAATTTCCAAAGAAATTGAAAGCAAGTTTTTAACGTGGAGCAAAAGTCATTGGACATCAAATGTTCATAAACAAGATATTTTAAACTTATTGAAATACTGTGTTGAGGACTCTTACAACAGACTCATAAAACCTTTTGTTCTAAGAAAAGCAAGGTGCGGTACAGTTTTTGTTTTGTTTTTCTGTTTTTTTTTAATGAAGTTGTACGGGATTAAGCTCAAACTCAGGTGAAATGCAAAATATTTGATAAAATGATGCTTTGTTTAAAATTCGGAAAATTTTACTTATCCAAATTTTCTTGTAAAAGTAGATAAAAATCACGATTGATTCAATAATGTGGTCCAAAATTTGAACAATTCTATCTCGTATGATCGATACCTCAATCAAACTCAAGTTACGCAAATATTTTCTCTACCAGAACAATTCCATTGACTTTCTGTTTTTTTTCATCCAAATATTAATCAGTCGAAAGTGTTCAAATTTTGAAAAAAAAAATTTATTCAAAATATTTTACTGAAATTGGTGCTCTTTGGGATGATCTAATCAAATTTGAGGCAATTCACCAAATTATTTCAATACAAAGTTACAAAAATTTAAAAATCCAAAACATACCTTTTTCTCATTTTTTTAAAATAGCTTTTCAAATTTCTTCCTTTTGGGTTAAAATCTTCAATATATCAAATTGTCAGGAAATAGTTTGTTTTACATTTAGTCTTGCGTTACATTGAATTTCGGTTATTTTTTTTGCTATAACAAAATAATAAGAATTTGAAAATAAATTCACTATAGCAATCATTTAGATCTGACTTGACTAAGAAAGCCAGAGAGGAAGCTGTTGATGTATTCAGTAGAAACTTGAAGAAGTTATTACTAACTCCACCCTTACGAGGCAAGGTAACAACTATACATACATACTACTCCACAACCCTCGGCCTGCTGGATTTATTAGGCTCAAAGCCAGGGTGTGTCTAGAAGTCGAGTCAGAATACCCAGTTTGGCATTTTCCGTTTTTTCTTGACACGCTCAATTTCTGTGACATAGATCGAACCGCTGCTGCAACTGAGTCATGGATGTTGCCCGACCTTTAACCCAAGAAAAATTTTTCTGTGCTTTACCGTTGCACAATTTTTGATGTCTTTTAAAGAGTGGTTACGCAAGTTGGCACCTATAAAACTGGTATATATGCTCAAACCATCATTCTGATTCAAAATGTTCAACCACTCGTCATTTAAAAGTAATAGCAGACAAGTTTAGCCTGGGTTTCACAGCCCTTCCTGCACTATTTTTTAATTATTGCAATCAATCTAGAATTCCTAGGAAGACCTATTGATCATTTAGTTGTTTGGTTCCTACTTAAAAAAATCTAAAAATCTGAGTGACAAAAATGTCCGAGTAGCTTTATTCCTATTGTTACATCACATTTTGCATCTTGCTGATTAGCCAATGTTACGGAAGTACTTTGAAAATTTTAAATCTCTCATTTCAGATTGTGCTTGGCGTGGATCCAGGTTTCAAAAATGGTTGCAAATGTGCTGTCATCTCTTCAACTGGGAATGAAGTCCTGGAAACTGATGTTATATATCTAGGTTCAGTGAGTATCTTTTATTCTGTCAAGATATCTGGGAAACTCTTAGCGCCAGAGAATTTTCTTTAAATTTATTTCAAATTAAAAAATGTTCATGTATCTGTTTTGCTACAAAACCTTAGTATAGAACAACATGATTTCTAATTTTTATTATTTTAGTTTGTGTTTTCCTAACCCAATGCCAGGATCAGAGCCAAATTTTTTACAACCTTGAGTCGGACCCATCATAAATTTTCCCAGATTCCACAATCCTGTTTGTAACTTGACCAGTTATTTACTAATAAATTATCTTGTCCACATGATAATTCACAGAAAAATGCAAAGCAGAAAATTCAACGATTGTATGGCAAACACAAGTTCAGTGTGATCGCAATCGGCAATGGAACTGCATGTCGGGAAAGCGAGAGTTTCTTTTCACAATTTATCACAAAAAATCGAGGTTCAGATCTTGTCTATTGCATTGTGAATGAAAATGGGGCTTCCATATACAGCGTCACTACAGAAGCACAGAAAGAACTTCCAGATCTTGATCCAAATTTAAGGAGTGCTGTGTCAATTGCAAGAAGATTGCAGGACCCTCTGGTGGAATTGGTTAAAATTGAACCAAAACATATAGGAGTTGGAATGTATCAGGTAGAGTTTTGAACTTCAAAATTATATTTAGTTTTTGCTGACTTGTTTTATACTAGGAATGCTACAAGCTATCTGTGCCACAAATTTTTTTCGATAAACTAAGAAATTACAGCTATGTCATTAATATGAATATCAATGAGATTTTTCTGATTGTGTGTATTGAGCAGAGCTTGTAGTAAACATATCACGTTGTCACTTGGAGTTATTCTAAGTTTGGAAGATCCAATCTTTGGAATTTCAGATAGGTTCTTGCTTAGAGTGTATGTATACACAACATAGAAAAATCGTTTAGCCATTTTTATGTATCTTAGACTGACAAAAACGGGAGTTTTTTGTGTAACATTTAAGGTGAAGATATAAACGTCATATGTCATTTTTTGATATTTATATTTTTATTCATTTTCAGCATGATATTCCAGAAACCTTATTGAAGACTGCACTTGGCTGTGTGATTGAAGATTGTGTTACATTTGTGGGAGTGGACCTCAATATTGCCAATGAATCATTATTAGGGTAAGAAATTTTCAACTTTTTAACAATTTACAACTAGGAAATTGACTGTGGTTAGTTGAATTAAAATGTTCATGTTTTAAATAATTTGAACCAATGCGGAAACCAGAATAAGGTAATGACTTACATTCATATGTACTTTATGTCAGGGTTATTTGAGAAACAAACCAAGAATTCTATGGCATAACATATTTCTATATAATTCAAATTCATTAAAACATTGCTACTAATTCTGGCATATTAAAAGCATATTTTTATTTTTCAGACATTTCTATGTGCTAATACGCCATTTTTGCACAAAAATAGATTATGCATCAATAATAACTGTCCAATGATTTGGTTTCTGCCAGACTAACTACTTCGATCGATCACTCGAAATATTAACTGTGTTCACTTTCTTTTTTGTTTATGACCTAATTATGTTAATTAAATGTTTATATTTCAAGACGAATAGCAGGATTGAAGAAAACTCAAGTAAAGAAGATCATCGAATATCGCAATAAACATGGACATTTCATTAATAGAAAGCAGCTTCTGGAAATATCAGGACTTGGAGAAAAAACATTTCAACAGTGTGCTGGTAAGGACATTGGGCCATACATTCTAAAGGCTTAGTTCTTGACAGATCGCAGTGAAAACTTTTTTCAAATAGTTTATTGTCATAGTAGACTCGAGATTACAGATTGAGAAACCTGAAGCCCACCAACTCATCAAGGGTGTAATAAATAAATCAGGTTGTCTATATACTGAACCAGAAATATTTTGGTCTACGCAAAATATATAAGATTTTTGTGCAATAGTGTAACACCTATCGACGCATGAAATCCAAATTGGGCTAAGTCCATTTTTCTAGTTTTGAGAAAAACGCAAAAAACGTTTTTTTTTGTTTCTTTTTTTTATTTCTCTAATACCTTACATCGAGGATGTCTAGTTTTTATGGTCCACCAAAGTTACAATGAAGGCCATATTTAGATGGTATAAAAAAAATTGTGCTCCGCCCCAATTTTTTTTGGGGGGTTTTTTTTGGACTTAACCCTTTTTGGCTCTCAATTTTCTGGACCAAAAACAATTTATTGGACTTAGGGCCCCTTTATTATGTTATTATAGAGGCTGGTATGGACTTAGCGCTTTGTATTATATTTTTTGAGAGGAGCTATGTCCAAAAAACGGACTTAGCCCCAACTTACAATGCAGTTATCCAGAGCTAAGTCCACTATAGTGGACACAGCTCTGTTTAGTTCTCAAATGCCCTAAAAAAAGCAGGGTTATGTCCATAGCTGTCTTGAGATCTAGAGCACCTAGAGATAAGGTAAATAGACCAAAATGTAGAGCTAAGTCCAGGAAAATCAGCAATTGAAAAATGTCATTTTTTGGAAAAGTGGACTTAGCACTGTTTGGTTTTGAGGTGTCGCTATATTAACTATTATTAGTTTTTGCAGAAAATAAGTTTTACTTCTTTTTGGTATGAATATCAAATACCTATTCTATATAGTGTTATGTTGGTACTCCTGAAGTATGCGCACCAAGTAGTCACATAACCTGAACCCTAACCTGGTACACAACCTGAGTTCAGGTTATGCGCCATCTTGGTGCGCATACTTCATTCAGCAGGTCCGTTATAATTATATAGGGTTCATCAGAATAAGTCACAAGTACCTGGTAGATTCTGAAAACATCGAGAATAATAATAACAACAACAACGATGAAAAACCTGAAGTAGAGACTACAGAAAAAGGGCGCAAAAGAAAACAGAAACCTTCAACCGCAGTAAAAATGAAAAAGGCCAGAGTGGATTGGAAAATGAATCCGTTAGACCAAACATGGATCCATCCTGAATCTTATGAGCTAGCTGAAAAATTTATCACTAATTTGAATCTTGACGTTAAGGAGCTAGGGAAACCAGAATTTATTAATAACGTGAAACATGCTATTTATGAAATTGGTGTTAAAAAACTTGCGGATAAGCTATCAGCCGGCGTCCCTACCGTACAACTCATTGCTGACGGCCTTTCACAGGACGCTGGGTTTCGAGATATCAGAAGTCAAATGCGCCGTCCGCTATTTCGTCGTGGTATCACTTCTATGCAAGATCTACGCTGCGGAACGAAAGTATCTGGACGGATAACTAACGTCACAGATTTCGGTGTATTTGTTGATGTAGGAGTTGGCCAAGATGGATTGATACACATGTCAGAAGTTGGTGGCCGATGGGAGGAAGTCAAACAATGCCTTGGACCAAATGACACTGTTGAGGTTTTAGTGAAAAGTGTCGACAGTCAAAGAAAGAGAGTTAGTCTGAGACTCATCCATGCCAATCTATCAAAAACTACATTTGTTTGATCGATTCGATTAGCCATTTCATCTTGTAACATAATATAGCATAATTCAGAAGTTGTCTCCCATTCTTGAGAACATTGGCTTCAATTGTTGGAACGGGTGACCAATGATCAAATATACGGACACAATAGCCAAAACAAAATCTTATATCCACAATTTCACTCAAAATCATATTACGACCGCTTAAACTGTGGAACAGCAGCTGTAAATTACTGTAAAAAAACTGTCAATTACCCAAACTGTCCGAGCTTAAACGTATTTTGTGACAATGATGATTCATGCATCTAGTCTCAACATGATTCGAAATACCATTTGATTCAATTTACAACTGTTGTATCAGTACTTTACTTTACCTGGTCGAGTGTACGGTACAGTGAAAAAACTTCAGACTTGCGTGTAGCGAGAGATCCGCTGCAAAATGCATCGTAGAATTGCAAAATGTAGTCGTAGAACAAGTAATTTCTATTAATTTTGAAGAAGCCATCACACAAAATTCGTTGTAAAAAACGAATCACATTGAGCCCCAAGAAGGAAGTAATAGCCTTCTAGCGACAACAACAATATACAAAACCAATGGAAATTTCAAATCAATTGATCCAGTAGTTGCTTATTTTCTCAACAACAAAAACAAGAATACTGCCAAAAACAAAACGAACCATGAGTCACTTTGTGTCCAATTATGGTATACCATTTTTAATTTCATTTACTAGTACAAGATGACCCTCTAATCCTTGAGTTCAATCTTTGCTCCTGATGTTTGAACATTTAACTTACTTGCGTTTGTTTGTTTGAATGATTGTCACAATAAAAAAGCAAATAACTTTTCATATGTACATCTTTAATCAGGGAATATATTATTCTTTATCTGGTAAGACTTATTCTTACTTTGCAAAAAAATTTCTCCTCATTTGAATGCATTTTTGTGCCAAACACAAATGAAATAGATACATCTATTAGTCATTCCGTGAGTATGCAATGGGAAAATTTGATTTATTCCTTTTTTTTAAATTTATTCAGGTACTGTAAATATCGTTTCATTCATAAAAAATCAGCTAATCCAAAAAGTTTTGATTTCCTTACTGCTACGTTTCATGTTTAGACATTATCATTGTGAATTTTTCTCTTATTTTTAATTTATTAAAACCAGTTTGCTTTGTGCAATGCTATTCAATTCGCCAAACGAGATAACAAGAACCACTGCTTTATAATGAATGTGTTGTAATAATTGAGCAAAATTCATGGGGTGATAGATGAGGAGTATGAGATGAGCCACTTAATTTAGGGTTTCCAGATTCAGGGTTAAATTGTGGCTTTATATTCAAGATACAGATATTGAGCACTTGGTAAGAAGATCCAGAGTGTTATACAAAGTCAAGCAAATCGCAAATGAAGCTTCGTCAAGCAGTTTGCGGGGCCCTTCATAATAATGTTTGGAATAGTCATTAATCTAGATCAGGGTCGTCCAACCTTTTTGGCCGAAGGGCCACATGTAGTTTACTAATAATTGCGTGGGCCACTTTATATGGCATTTTGTTCTAGTATTGCTACACTGACTACATGATTAATGAAAATACCGTACAAACAATACCCTCACACCAAACTTCCACAATTATTACACCAATAAAACTGTTATTTCCCAGCCATTGATGGGGCGCCATCAGTAGTTATTTCCAAAAGTTTCGCCAAAGCTAAGCCAAGACACTTGATCTTTCTCATCACAGCTCCCAACAGACCAACGCCTCGCCTCCAGTCATACCCCTAATAGGGACAATGGCTGCGAACTATGCGGTAATTCGAAATCATTAATAACTACCCACGAGAAGATAGCCAACTGAGCAGTAACCTTGACGTCGGTGCGTTCGTCAATCACCAAGGAATACGATGAAAAGTTTTACACCTTTGCAATTAAAGTTCCCTCTATAAAGTTCTCAAGCTCTTCAAAATGACGAGTTATGGTCTTTTGTCTTGACAGTCTATTTTTGCAAACACGTCTTTTATTTCCGGACGTAGAACATTGGCAACCCAAACAATACATTCCTTAAGGAAATCTGAGAATGGCTCCGATTGTTTTGTGATAACGTCATATTATAGAGTATTAAAAGACTAAGTGTGTAAGCGTCTATGGCACCTTTATTTGTCGATATCTCCTCCCGGTTGGTTTCGATTCAGAATGGCTCATTCGAAAGGGCTGGCAGAGCGCATTTCAGGAAAATAAACAAATCGTTTGTATCACATATTTGCATACTACATCACTCGAAAAATAGTTTTACTTCAATTTTTTCATTCTATTCTGAAAAATACAGCGCGGGCCACATATGGCCCGCGGGCTGGACGACCCTGATCTAGATCCTGTGTTTGCCATCTCACTATACCAAAGGAAGAATCCTCCATTGAAAATGAGAAATGGTGATTATTTGTCTTGAACTCCAGTAATTGCGACATTTGATACTGTTAGCCCTTATAAAACATGGTGTTTCGATTTCACGTCAGTCGTGCTTCGTTAAGACGAATTTATATCGCAGCCTGCAGTATAGACTTGTTTATTCCTGTGCTAGGGTCATGTTCATCAAACCTGTCACCAGTATTTAGCGGAGAAAATAGAACAATACTTGCGAATTAAGAAGTCTAGCCTTCCTTAAGAAGTCGTAGCCTTCCGTGTGTGTGTGTTAGTGTTTCATGAATTACGGTTTGTCAATTTTTATATCCGGAAGCTTTGAATTTTTATTCAGCATATTACAAAGAAATATTATTGAACATAGCATAATTTGCTATAACAATACAATATTGCAGCAATAAATTACATGCTAAGGCACCAAAATGAGGCTAAAAGTGAAAAAATAAACTTACAGAATAAATAAAAACGTAAAATAAAATTCCTAAAACCTCAAACACATGCTGAATAACGAGAGACCTGGTCGTATTATAAAACGGATTAAGAAAAATATTTTTCCGGCATTTCTCAACAAATTTCAGATACTATAATAGCCACAAATTAAAATATTTCAATATGCACTGCTTCAAATCTGGAAATTTTTGACTTCCTAATTTGAACTAAATGAATGAGATAAATGGTAAAAAATAATATAAAAAGGCCAATTGTGGCATAAAGGCACTCCAAGAACTAATAAAATACAGCAATAACAATGTTCAGCTCCGAAAACAGCAAGCAGATTATTCAACACACAGTAATACACAATATTGTACGTGTTAAGGCAATTAGAAGCAATGTATAACAAACAAACAAAAATATTTATAAAACGTAAAAAGACAGTTTGCAGCGGTTAAGTTAATAAATATTACCTACTATAATTATCCTCGTGTTTCCAAAAAATTATGATTTTTTTTCATTCAGAAATGAACAATACCAACCCTTTTGCTTGTTTGGTGTCCTAACCATCGTCAGTTTTTATCAAGTAAAAATTAACACAACTCCTAATTTTATCATGCAAAAAAAACTATTCGGAATAATACTAGCCCTTAAATATTTCGTTTGACTTTACCTAAAAAAATTCCAATTATGATCATTCTATATAAAAGTACAGTATACATCCCACAGGTACCCCTTAAATTGCATTCCAGCGTCAATTTATGAACAACGCTCATGCTTGATGACACAAGTGATCCAAACAGTGAATACACGAAAACTATATATAGAAAGCTTATAAAATATGACTACCTGAATATTGAGAAAGTTCAAACAAAACTGTACTATTGTTCACATAGAAAAAGTGCACAGGTAACGAGACTTTTAATGCGCTTGACACCTTTGACCACACAACGAAATATCACCACACCGAAGCATAAACGCAAGGACGAAAAGCATTAAAAATATAAAATTACAAAACTTGAGGTTAAACATCCCATGATGGCAGATCCTTGAAGATTTATCTACACATAACCTAGTCAAGCTTGTTCAAATGAAATAGGCCTAGTTATAGATGTAATGATAAAAAGCGTGTCTAATTGGAGCAGCTAAAGTGACTCAATGGGGAGTTTCTCAAGGAAAAGCTTATGATAGATTTTCACTTATTTTTTTCCACTTTCGCTCTAAAAACATTGCTGAATAATTGAACCTATTTTTGGCACGATTTCAACCCCTTACTAAATAAAATCAGGTTCTACTTTTAATGCAAATTAAATATGTGAATAAATTTTAAACACTGGTAGTCTTTGTGTCACCAATCATGTAATTATCATTTATCTATATGAACAATTCCTATGTTAAAAAAAGTTTTTTTGCAATTATTGTGTCTTGTACATGTGAATAATCTTAGTGATCCTATGACTTTACACAATTAGGAATTCAAATGTTGTACGATTTCAACCCAATAATAAATAAAATCAGGTTCTACTTTTAATGCAAATTAAATATGTTAATAAATTTTAAACACTGGTAGTCTTTGTGTCACCAATCATGTAATTATCATTTATCTATATCAACAATTCCTATGTTAAAAGTTTTTTTGCAATTATTGTTTCTTGTACACATAAATAATATTAGTGATCCTATGATTGAACACAATTAGGAATTCAAGTGTTGTATGAATTTTCTTCATTTTCGCAAAAGTAATTGGAAAATTTATTTACATACAAAACGAACAGAGCTATAGAGATGAAAGTTTTCTGAAAGATGGCAATTGGAATTTTTTAACAGATTAAAAAGACTTCTAAACGTCATAATTTCTGTTGTATAGATTTCACCAACACCAATTCCGAAGTTAGTGGTGAATTCTCTAAATACAGATTCAAGACTACTTAGTCTTTCGTTTAAACATACCTCTGAGGCGAATGATAGGCCTACTTGTTTTTTTCAGAATCTACAGCCCTGAAGATAAGGTAGATTTGTTATATTCTTCTATGTAAAAATTAACCATCAAACTTTTGCCCAAGCACAAAAATCCTGAATATTTTTCGTTGCTACATTCCTTAATAATAAACATTTCAATCTTAAATTTCTATCGTTTGTCAAAAGCACCACACTTGTGTGTACAATGCCATCTGTAAGAGTCTTAATAGACTTATCATGTTCTTGTATACTTTGCGAATAAGCTTGAGTACTTTCAAGTATAAAATCATCATTATTTCCATGATTGTTTGTTGATTCCTCGCTACGGAATCTTAAAGATTTCAGTTCTGTCCCTCTACGCGTCAATGCACAAAACTTTGAATTGTTATCAGAAAAGATTGTGTTTATAAATTTGACTGCCATTTTCGCACTTTGAAAAACGTGTTCGGCATGATCATTATCTCCTTTTCGTTCCGTTGCAAGGCCTTCAAGCTCGCTAATGACAACTAGTGGTGTAGCGACTTTGTACTTTCCGCAGCTGACTAATTTTTCAATAAGTTTCAAATAATCGATAAAACAATTAGTATCAGGTACAAGATATTTTGGACAGATTTGCAAAGTTAATTTTTCATCTGATTCGAGGGAACTTTTTATCTGGCTCTGACGACGTTCATGGCGTTCTTTTGTCATCTAGAATGGAGAACATAACTTGAATAAACATCAGAATACTAATAAATTTTATTTCATCAAGATTCAAAGTTTGCTTTAACAACAGCGTGAATACTGGAATTAGCAACTACCGTATATTCTAACAGTATACGACAATTATGAGAACCTTTTACATAATCTTCTTTATTAATGCTCGGGTTGAAGATGTTAGTTACATCTCAAATAGAAAAAAATCTCCGCAAATTACCTATTATGATGGCTAGAATTCTTAACAAACCCTATAAATATATCTAATCTTTTCAATCTCATATATTCATGGATCTGAATCACTTGGGAATAGACAACTACACAACAATTGTCCCTATAACCAAAACGAATGATTTAGAGTTTTATAAAACATTTCATTCAAAAATATTATATACACTTGGTTTGCACTATATTGCAAAGCATCATTCTATTCCAAACTTCACCTGCAATGAATCCCTGTATTTTCTCAATTCACTCAGTTCTTCTCCATCATTATTTGCCTGTTGGTTTGTAGCACTATCATGATATAAATTATCATTGTTATCCGCAGTTGTCGTATAATCGTCAATATCGTAATCAGATGTGAAACTTTCATCATGAGCTGATTTGTCTGACCAAGACCTCAATCTAAGAAGGAAAGGAATACTTATTTGAAGTGATGTCATTGCATTAAAGAGAAAGAGTCCCTATGCCTAGATCAATTAGTCAAGTCGAGTTACGTGTCATCCTAGTCAAGTCAATCATTTAGTCGAGTCGATGACTCCATCCTCCAAAACACTGCATAATGGAACATAGATAATGTCAAATTACAACATTTCGACACTACTTTATTGATGTTTGTCAAATGTATTTTTCAAATACAAAGCAGCAAATACATCATTGAATAAATTGAGTCATTGAATAAACTAATGGTGCCTTTTCATAGGCTCAATAACACCAAAACTTTGACAACCTCTGGCATAGATGATAACACCCATGCATTGTTAAAATTGACTAATCATTCCAAAAATCAATAAGTTATTATATCGAATATGACCAATTTATTACGAACAAATTGAAATATTCATTTCGGACAGTCCCTACTAATAGCAATGGTAAAATACCAAATTTTTATCATTCCATAACCAGCGTTATTCTTGATCAAAAATTTTAGGAGATCCATATTCGAAAAGCTGAATATTCTTAAAATTATTTGTATAAACACAAAAATATATCACAAAAAGTCGGCAAGATAATTTTCCATTTAACCCCCGAAATACCTCGTTTGTGGAACAGTGACATAATTTCCTTGTTTAAACGCCAGTAATGGTTCTTCCATTCCACATAAATATTCCAGGAAATCTCGAATCAAACTGATTCTAACAGATTGTTGAATATACGATTTGTTTTCTGGTGTCAAAATACCAGACTCAACAAAACGAGGATCACTGAATGCTTGTCCTGAAAGAAAATTAATTATGAAGCGTTTTTCTATTTCAACTCTAAACAAGGCTTCATACCGCAACTCATATGTAAGAAGCAATTATTTATGAAGAGACCAGAATCTTTCCAGTCAGGCATTACCTACACAATTTCATTACACTTTGGGTGGCGTAGTGGGCAAGATTTTTCAAACAGATGCGACATCATCATAGCTATGACCAATGCTCTACTCGCCCCCACATGTAGATTTAAAATTGTTTCACCCTAATGGTGATCAACTCAAAACAAATCACACCGACTCCCAATTCTTGTGTCTAATCTGCACCAAAAATATTCAATTCAGTTTGAAATTGTTATTAGTGGAATACATATAAACCTGGCAGATGATGCATTGCATCAGCATCACTAGCTTTTGATTAATTAGGTATAGAAACGAAAACGGCGTCCAAAATTAGCCATAACTTTCCGGACTTGTATGCTGATTCTCATAAAATAAAAACTTTTTGAGGTTACAATCCAAGGTACACACACGCCTTCAAGACACTGACAAGCATCAAAACCGAAAGTTAACACTCCCTTTGAAACATCAAAAAAATTCACATAAAATTGCTAAAAATACTCTCAATATGATACTAGACAAGATTGTCTTCATTACGACAGTTTGCTAAATACCTAGAGGTGAAAATCCAGCCAGTTCGCTGTCTTCTGGTAAGAATACTTCATGTAGACCTTCATTGTATTCACTATAAATTTGTATAGATGGTCTGGTACAGGAATGGTTACAAATCCAATTGCATAATTCAGCCAGACTGTCCCAAACATTCAAATCCTTATCAGATAGATCCTGAAAACAGTGTATTATTTATAGCTTTATGTCCAAAATAAATCTAATATATGACTAATTTGAAATAAATTGTATCTGGTAATTTAAATCTTGATTTCACAAATATTTCAGATCAAAATTAACAGAATACAAGTCTACCATTATGACCAAAAATGTATTCATTTAATTTTTGAAAATTGTAAAAAAATATATACCTAATGGAAATTTTTTTATTTGAACTCTCCAGCATTCCCAATTGTTTATGATTTTCGTTGAATATGATATCTAACTCAATTTAGAAATATGCTCGAAATCTAGTTCCATATTCGAAAATTGATGTGTGACCCAATTTTCAAATATTTTATATTCGAATTTTCAAATATTTTATATTCGAAAATACTATTCAAGCATGTATTTGGCTTTGGCTATCTTTAATTCACGAAGAACAATCATGAACTGAACAATAAAAAATAAATTCTAATATATTATTTACCAGTGGAGGAGGATACCAGCAGCTTTTATTCGCATACATCCAATCAAACATTACTTTGATTGAAGGCAACAAATTTGCAAGATCATCTGATGCAAATGGATCAAATTCTTCATTTCCTATGATATTTAAAAAATAGTATTGTGAAAAATCATTCATGTCTGAGAATGTCTCTGTTAACTTTCAGGAACGTTTTGTATCACAGTGGTTACAGCTTGCCATATCAAACAAATTGAAATTTAAAAATGTCAAATTTTTGACTTCATAGCAAACATGGAACATGACTTGCTATGTACACAGACTGCCATACGTTTGAGTAATCAGCTTACTCAATTTTAGATTCAAAAAATAAATCTTATACTGAAAGATATTTATCATGACTAGGGCTGTGAATAGTTTAGCAATTAATCTATCGCAAGAAATAATTCGCATAAGCAAATCTATATTTTTGAATAGCAGTCGCTATCGAATTTACAATATTCGTTGTCAATCTAAATACTGGAATATGGAATTAAAACTTTCCACATACGGTAATTTACATTCAATTTCCGAACCACATATGTTACATTTGATTTGATTTGAAATACTTCAAAATCTCCAAAGTAACATAGTTAGGATTTCTTTTATAAAATAGTAAGCAAGCAGAATTATTTCGAGCAACATCAGAGCTAGTCTATATGAAAATGCTTTAGTATTTTACTAACAAGCCCGATTTGACATTATCAAATGTGAATTTAGACATGTTGTTTCATCCTATGCTTTTGACACCAACTAGTTAATTTTGTCTGGTAAATAGCCTACGTGTTTGCAGTGAACAGTGAAATTCCCAGCCCTGATTTGGCAAAACAATGACTCTGACCTGAACCAGCTTTAAATGTCCTGTTAACTTGATCAACAATGATTGTAAACATTGAAAAAACAAACTTCAATGCTCTGTGTTGATTTTGTGATGAATCGTGCGCTCTTGCATGAATGGAAAGTTTTTCTGTAAATAAGAGATACAGAAGTTAGAAAAGACATAGTTAATTTAACTTATCACACACTGTTGGGGTCATGCGGATGTGCATGAATTGAAGTATATTTACCAAAAAAGGAGGGAATGTCTAAATAATGGGTTCAGAGAAAATTCCAAAATAACTAGAAATCATTAAACTGTGATGTCAACATACCTATTGGTTACCCCTTTTACTAACCCTTAGTGCCAGAAAAATGACTACCGGTAAATTAAATTCGGTGAAACTGGCCGAAAACGATATATCATTTTTCAACTATCGTATATCCTCGCATATAAGTCGAGTGTGAAACTAAAAAAAAAGTTGCCAAACTTTGCCTTTTAAGTTGCCCAGCTTATACGCGCATAACTCTGATCGCACTCAACCGAAATGACATTATGCTAACTTAACTCCAACAGCTATAACTCGAACAATGCTAAATTCTCACGATAAGAGCGTAAGATTTGTCGGCTTATATGCGAATATTTGTAAATTCACCAATTTAAAACCGTTTTAGGGGATAGGCTTATATGCGAGTATATACAGTAATCTGATATGATATTCATATTTAAAATCAAAATTATTAAAGCACAATGTCAAGCTACAGTAACCAGCAATATATACATACAACAACAAGAACCTCTCACCTGCATTTAAAACTGCAAATAAATTGATTGCAAACAACTGTAGGAGTCTATGATTAGACATAAGTTTGGTTGCCTCAAATATCCGTAATGTTTTCGTTAAATTCTCCCCGAAATTCTCAAGTCCGATACGAGTAAATAATTTTCCATGTAGATTTAAAAATAACAAAGTAAAGTGTTTTGTCATCTCTTGAGAAGAAAGACGTAGTTCAGGTAAATCTGTTTCTGATGATGATTGCTTTTCTGCCTGTTTTATAACATGTTAATGAATATTACAACAATGAATAAATGGATTTGACTTCAGACAGGAAATCGTTTACTTGTGCTATTAACAACAAAAAGTATGCTATTCAATATTTTGATTATTTCATTTTAAAGATTCTGAATATCCGGCCACTGGTATGTGAAAATAAGTATGGTGCAGTTCGGCATCGTCTACACCCAATTCATTAAAACCTGGGAGCATCAGATTTAAATCCTTCAAATCTTTTACCTTCTATGCCAACAAATTCAGTGCTCCAAGAACCAGGCAATAAAAGATGGCCTTTTACACAATTTCTGCTTGAATTCCCCTAATAGCTATGTCAGTCAGTATTCATATTTTACCAAAATGAACATACACTAGATGCAAACAAAAACTAGGAAAAAAAACATGAAAATGGCATTTGTTGGTTAAAATGATAAACCAATGAGTGATTTTCTCTATCTTGGGTTTCTGCAAGATAACTACTTATCACTCTTCTGTCTATGCTATTACACCGGTGGATTCGTACGCACAAACGCAGTATCAAGAATCAAGAAATGAAACAAGAGACATAATGTTTGTTCAAGGTAGTCTGACTTTAGGCACATTTGTGTCAGTGTGTAGTAAGACTTTTGAAGCATTCAGAATTTTTAAATAGTTACCAACTATAATGAATTATATTTTCAGATAAAATCCTACCTTAACTCCCTTCGTTGAAACATCTTCAGATCCTGGCAGAATCCAAACTTCTTCCCAGCGTCTCGACGACCCTTCATTTATATTCGTTCTAGATTTTGCGACCTTTGAACTCTCCTTTCCTTTCGAAGACGTCGATCGCTTCTTTGCTTCTGTGTCATCTCTCTGTTTTATAAAATCAATTTTTCTGCGAATTTCATCGAATAGTACCATCAAGCTTTCTCGGGCTGATAAGATGGGATTGCTTGCTGCCAAGCTACGGATGTAATAATAAACTGCATCTAACTTGTGACGGGTTTTCACAGCTAAAATTGCGAGTTGGTTGTAAGGACGACCATTTTTTGGTGCTAAAACCTGAAATGAGAAAAACAATGTTTATCGGTCAGAATGGATGAGAAATTAAAATGAGTTTCTTGAAGTGGGGAGCTGAAACCGGAGCTGTCTTTAAATGGGGCAAAGTTTGTAGTAAATTTCTCCCGATTTCACAGTCCTTGGAAACCACAAATTTCCAAATATGCATTTTGACGACCGAAAACTACCTAAATATGCTTTTTGACGGCTTAAAACTAGCTAATTTTTCAAATTATGATTTATTTTCAGTGAAATTTGAATCGAACCTGAGATTGTAGATAGCAATGTCTTGCTCTTCCATAATTGCTAGTGTGATCAGCTTGCTCTCTATATCTTGCTATATCACCGAGACAAATGAAAATCCTTTGGCAACTTAGTATCGCAAGTTTGGATCTTTTTCCAGCTTTCGTTCTATGTCTTGAACACCAATTCAAAAAAACGATATGAATGCATATTCACTACCACTATTATGCAATGGCAATACAAAACATAACAAAAATATCATCATATACACAAAGATTATATTTTATACTATAGGATAAAGAAGAATTTCCAAAAAGCAATCAAACGTCTGAAATAGATAGATCAGGGGGGTCGTCAAACTGGGGGTCAGACTCCCCAATAGGTCGCGAATGAGCTCTATGGGGTTCGCATATGTCTGTGCGACTCTGTGGTACCACCTCACACATGATGTATTATAAATTGGGTGGGTAGATTTCAGCCGCTGCACGTTTGACCTTGCGTATTATTAACTGCATGTACAAAGCATTGTTTGTTGTGAAGGCGTGAAAACCTCAACAAGTTAAATATTGAACAAAGTGAATTTATATAAAACAATCCCAAACATTTTGTTGAATAATTAATATTGATAATCAAATAAAATCAGGTTTTATGAGAGATACCAAAATCAAATACCTTTTCCGAGCGGATGCACTGTTCAATATTTCTTTCAAATTGAATCTATTTTTATGCTGAAGATTCTCAAGCAGTGATTCATAGAATGCAGTACCTATTTAGTGGATGAATTCATAATATAAAATCAAAAAATATCCGGGTATGAGTTTTTGGTTATGTTGGCATTCAACAAAGTTGTTATTCTAAAAGATATTCCAAAAATTTTCCATTCAATGCATTTGTTTTATTAAATTGATACAATAATCCATCTTTAAAATATCATCAACCCCTTACCTTGGTCTAACAATAAAATTAAATTGATTTTCAATTCTGAGCTATCTTGCTCTGGGCATGAACGAATCTGTTCTCTCAGTATTTCTATCACCTGGTAAAACAAAGAGTAACAAAATTGATATTTTACTAATTTTTTTGAAGTAAAACTTTTACGATCGTTATAGAAACTTCTGAATAAACATTGCTTTACCAAAATAATCCGTTCAAGCAAATTTAATTCATTGGGAAGTGTTTTGCTTCTTGGACAGATGATAAAATATAGATAGTGTCAAGCAAACTGCTTTTTAGTAATCGACTTATTAACACGAAGATATGTCAAGAACAAAGTAGAACTATACTTTACAGAGAATGTGATTCTCTCTAGTTTGTCATTGCCTGACCAATTCATCATACCCTTCCCTCAGATTAAGTAGTATGGATCGGGCTTAAAACTTAATATCTATAAAATAACATAATGAAAATTCTTGCTACTTTTCATGATCCAATTTCAAAGCACTTCAATCATTGCTTCAAACACTTCAAGTCAGTTACTTTCAAGTAACTGCTCAGGCGATTGATGACAAAATATCAAAATTTAGCATGATTTAAAACAATTTTGACTGGTATGATTCTCATTATAATTTAACCTTAAAGATAATACTGGAAAACAAAGTATTTTAATTTTAAAATCCTTCTCCACATTTTAATCAATATCATACCTGGTAATAAACATTTCTCCATAGTTTTTGCTCAATATTATTATTAGTTGCTGCTTCAATATCATTTGTTATCATTCCTTCATAAAGAATTTTCAGTTTATTTCGAGCTCTAGTCAAACTTTCATTATATTCATGTGAATCAAATGACGGCGAAGAGAGAATATTCGACAGCATCGATTCATATCGTTCTGCATCATGTAATGCCGTCAGTCTGGATTGATGATGCGTGTTACGAGACTGCGCGACCAAGCTATCCTCATCTTCTGACAGATTTTCTGTGGAGTAGTGATAGTTTCGACTTCCTACTGGACTGTGAGATTCATATTCTTGCCAATGGTGATCTTCCTGATAGCGGTTTCCAAAGTATCGTGGCGGAGAATTTCTCCTTGTATAATTTTTCACTGGTGATTTCTTGCGCTGTGGACGAGTAGGCGTAACTTTAGACATCATTCTTTCTTTACTCAGTGTAGGACTATAAACATTATCGCCAGAATTGGGTATAAAGTATTTGTCACCATCTCTTCTACTTTTTTCTTTTCCCATAACAATGGGTTGATCAGGGTTATTTGGATCATAAAGCTGCCTTTTTGACTGCACATTATCCCCCTTAGAAACTGAAGACTCATCCTGATCAAATTCATCATTGTCATCATATTCCTGCAAAGGAGAATTCTTATATATTATTTCTTCTGGGCCATGGCATAGTGGTTAAAGTGTCCAACTTAACTGTGTTGGCATTATAAGTTACATGTCTCCGGTTCAATTCCTATGCCAACCCCACCCATCGTAGGTTGCTTGCACAGTGCCTTGCAATTGCAATTGCAAGAAGCCAAAATTTGGCTTGTCTAGTTGAAATCAGTATAAATTCAGTGAAGACTGTGGTTCGTGGAAGACTGAATCATATTGAATCCGAAATATTATTTTTTTTCAGAAATAGGTTTCTCAATCTGTATCTAGTTATGTATTTAGCAGTGAAGCGTGTTACGGAAAGCCATGAAATGGCCAAAATGGCATAATAACCAATTAAAACAGGGAATAAAATTAGGCAATTATAATACCAGTAAACAATATTGTCTAACAACCAAATCATTTAAATGAGCTTTTATGGTAGTGAATTATGGTAGTTTTATGACATAGTATACTTTTACAATCAGTATTACAGGAGCTTGGTGAATGGCTGCAAGATTGTATGGACAATGAACATGTATAAAGATTAGAACGAGAATCGTTTTCAAAATTTCATAGTAAAACATGAGAACAATCCATAAATATATGTACATGGAGATATACTTACGGTTCTATTACACTGTTGAAAATGGGCTTTCGGAAATCTATGATAGCAATATTATCAAGGCATACCATTTTTCAAAGCCCCCAAAGTTACTTATAAAAACAGCTCACAAAGTCAATAGTCCACAAGTTCAAAACAACTGACTCCAACGAATAACATAAAATGTACTCACTTCTTCATTGTCATCATCTTGTTCAGACTGAGATGAGACTGAATGAGTGACTTTATAATATTCTTTATTGGATTCATTTGTAGCAACTGATGCTGTACCTTCCTCCCTTGAGTCAGGTACTTCATCCACTTCCTGAAGGAAATTTTTTATGTTAAGGCAGTTTTAAACTACATAACACAAGCTTTGTTGAAAAAATTGGGATAATCCGAGTGGGTTGATCAAGAAAAATCCAATCTTACCGGCAACTTTTCTTCCGTTTTACAAACATTTTCATCAAAACTTAATTCTTTGTATAATTCAGAATCTGATAAATCTCCCCCTTCTTGACTAGATGTTTCCGTATTTGTTACCTGCAAATAAATTCAAGATGATTGATGAAAATATTTGACTATGTTTGATTTACCATATATGTAAAATGCAATTGTGGAATCAAAGAGAAATAGTATTTTCGAGGCCATAGTCTGCATATATTTATAAATTTACTGTATTTTACGACTATAAGGTGCACTTTGAATCCCATTTTTTTCTCAAAAATCGATCAAGCACCTTATAAGGTGGTGCGGCTAATGTATGGATCATGTAGTGCTTTCCTTTATGCTTTGCCTACACTTAAAGCCAGTACCAGTACTATTGCTGTATACACAAATCGCCGTCTCAACCGATGAGACGTATAGTCCGATTAGACTTTCTTGACAGTGTGCCTTATGGTTCATAAAAAAAAGGGTATTCAGAAAACAAAACATTTGAAAAGTATTCAAAATTTTATTACAGCTGAAATGGAATAGTTCTTTTTTAAAACAATTTTATTATTCGAGTTTGAATCCCATGAACAAGCTTATGTTCTCAAATCTTAGGTATTTTTGATTGAATATCATCATCCCATAAGCCAGTGGTTCTTAAACTTTTTCGAGCGCGACCCAAATCTAAGTTTTATGAATACTCACGACCCAATCCTAAATAACGCAAAATGTGTTTTTAATGTTAGTACAGTTTGACTCAAATACAGACAACTATTTATTAGAAACAGTCCATTGACTCAGTGAGATTGATGAAACTGAAATTTCCTTTTCATTATATCTTCAATACACAGCTCTATTTTACTTAACGCAATACGCAAGTTGTCACGGGTATCGAGGCGATTGCGAGCTTGGTTTTGATAACCGTCAGTGCCGAATATCCTCGCTCGCACAAGTGCCTTGTCGCGAATTGTAGCAGAAAAGGCGTCCGCTGTCCGTCGCAAACACGACATTCTAGCTGGCCTTCGGTATCTCTCGCAATATACAACTTTTTACTCATTAAATGTGCACACACTGCTTCGTTCGCGGTTAATGGTGCCTCGAGATGAAGTCACATTTTCTCTAGATATTGAATAATCTAATGTCGAGAAGCGATCATCATCATTGCGTCGTCTATTACAATTTACAATACCAAAAAGACACCCATTTTTGGTTATTTTAATCCACTAAGACAACATTCCACGCGGTCAACACAACGACAAGCAACGTGCATGGTTACCCATACCATAAAAATAATACACAGGACTGGCATATCAGAATCGTGATGTAACAATGAGCTCAAGACAGTTCTTTCCGTGAATGAAATTTTATATTTCATTATTTTTAAATACCAGAGTTTAGAAGCTAAATTGAAACATTGGGAAAGCTGAAAATTTGTCCTTCTCCTCTTAGATTGCCCTTGCATTGACGACCTTGTCGCGACCCATTTTTAAACCTTCCGCGACCCATGTTTGGGTCGCGACCCATACTTTAAGAACCACTGCCATAAGCATTCTCACAATTCGAACTAGTTTAAATTAATTTTTAAATATGTTATTACCTGGGGACTCCATCCATGATGAACTAATCCAGATCCTCCATAATTATCCCACGCCAGTTCATCATCATGTTCTAATTCTGCTTCTTCTTCACTATATTCAAATGAAATTGACTTGTTGTGAAGGCATTTTATCACTTCAAAACGATCATACAATGTATCAACACAAGTTCAGTATCACAACTTAACAATTGTCATTTAGCGTAATTTTAAACCATTTGAACCAATAAAATGGACGATAACAGAAAGCGTGAGTAATGATAAAGAGATTATGAATGAATATCAGGGGCCTAAGTGAGACTAAGGCTGCAGTTTATGAGTTTTTTTCAAAAAAAATATATTTGCTTACCTTGAGAAATCATCAACACAATCTCCCTGTTTCTGTCTTCTTTTATGTCGAGTCAAGAATCCTTCTTCTGCTTCAACTTCTGGCTCTTCTTTGAGTTTCTGATTTCTGCTAACCCTATAAAACAAAATTCTATTAAACTTCGACTAAGCTACGGTCTATAGATACAATATGGTGAACAGAATTTTCAGATAAAAAATAATTGTGAAGCCAAATTTATCTAAAAAGTAAATTTGAGAATAACAAAAATGTGCTTCCATTAAACAAATCTTTTGTGAGAAGTTGACAAATTAGGTACATTAGTCATATAGCCTACTTTTCAAAATGGAAATCACACATTAGATTGAAGTGATGAGATTCCCATAACAGTTTTTTAATAAAAAAAAAGTATCAATTTCACTAAAAAAATAGCATTATTTTATCTAATCTGTTTTTGCACAAAATTTTTTCCAAGATTGCTAGTTAGATAAAGCAATGTTTTTGTCACTGCAAGACATCAAAGGTTTTGAAATACAAAGTCAAATTTCAATTTTATAAAGGTTATTAAGAGTTTAAAAAACTATTGATTATTATGGAATGCTCTCAAAGCTCATTATGTTCATTAGTAATTGAGCACTAAAAAACCAAATGAATTGTGTATCTTATCAGATTAATAGACAAAGCTTTTGGACAAAGCTAGACTAAAAACACAAACCTATTTCGATAATTAGTACGTCGTCCTCGCACATTCTTATTTGAATTTGGTTTTGGTGTTAATTTACTGTCTTTCCTATGATTTATCGAATCATTCCCTCTAGGAGTTGAATTCGTCAAACTTTCATTTTTACTTTTTGGTGTTTCCTAAAAATAATAAAGTGTTATTTATTACCTTGAATTAAATGCAAGAGCAAAGTATATAAATCCAATAAAACATAAATAAATAACTAGACACACACTTGTTCACTTCACACTAGCTTGCACAGTGGTAAAGACTTGGCAATATAACTATGGTAATTAACATCAGAGCGATATTTGTTCATTGTTAAAATTATGGTATAATTTTATGATGCAATCTCGATTCTAAAAAACTGACGATTCTGAAAAAATAACAGTAATTACAACAGTAATTTTCATCCGTCTAGTTCTTAGAAATAGCACTAAATTCAAATTTCGCCAACTCAATTCTTTTGGAATCTTCACATATTAATTTATACATGGGTGTTTGACACATTTAGAAAAAATATTATTAAAGACATTTTGCGATACCTTGACAACAGGTGATGAATTTTCTACTGTAGATCTGTCAAAACTTGCAGCAAGTTTACGATTCGAAAGTCTCGTTACTCCAGGTTGATAAACTTGATATTTGACAGGTTTTGATTTTCGCTCAATTGGTTTTTTAATATTATCAGAATGCGTTGTTGTTTCGTTTTCTTTAGCTTGCAATTTTTTTAATTTTTCATGTAATTTCCAAAGTTTTTTCTCATCTAATTTTATAACATCCAAACGTTTCCCATCACTCATTTTAAATTTCGAATAAAGTTAAGTATCGTGCAAATGTGATTGCCATTCAAATACAAAATGTTTCAATCTAATAACGCATAAAATATCTGTTGAAATGATATATTGTTGAATTTTTACAATGCAAGAAATTAGATCCAGTATCTTAGAGACTTGAGGTTATTTCCAGTGTTCCTACAAAATGTAGAACCCCACAGAGACTCAAATTAAGATTAGACAAGATTCGATACAACTCTATCAAAAAGTATATGAATTATAATAAAATATTCCTAATCCAGATACCAAAATATGTGCCTCAAAAGTATATTTCACCAATACTTTTCACTTTAAATTGGCCTTTTCAATGCTCCAAGAACTGAAGAATAATTCACAAGCAAATGTAATATTATATACTGATATAAGTTCGGTTATATGATATATCATATTCAGATATTTCTTTATTTTAGCTATCCACATGCAGACACAGAGACATGAGCCTTTTTCCACATCACTGCATCAAACTGTCAAAATCACAATGGTACCGGTATCCTGATATCAACAACGAAAAAAAAACCGGTACGATAATGATGTATAACGTTACCGGTAACGTTGAATTTATTTTATCACTAAAATTCTTTTTATTTATTGTTTATTAGTTCACGGAAACCCAAAATCCTCTTCCTTTATCGCGCGTCGTTTGCATCTATACATTTTTTTAAGGTTCCACATTGTGGATTCAAATCTGTTTTGTAAAATTAAATAAATGATAATGATGAATAACATACAATAAACACATATATTCATTTTACATCTATAGTCTACATTTTAGTTTTCAATAATTTCAGAATCTCTTTTGCTCAAGCCTGAAGCACTCGGCGTCTTGCCGGAGGTGTCGACACCAACGACACAATCATTTTCCATTAGCCTGAAATCGACTTTCTTTTTTTACTTCCTTTACTTTACTATCTTTGACTGTTTTAATTCTTCCATTGGACATGATCGGTTAAATCGGTACATGACCTCTCAAAATCCTAAATTGCCCCTTGATAACTTTAATAATAATAACTTTAAATTGCCGTCTCATTCACTCATTTCTTTATCTTATATATATTTTATTTAACCCCATTTGCATTTACCCATGGTACTATATTATGCCATGATAAGCTTATATACAGCATTTACACAAGGGTCGGGAGCCCAGATGACCTTAATCGGCCCTGCACACCGACCCGCACAAAACAATAATCAATCGCTGTTTATTACTGATGAAATATTTTCTTTATTGTATTATTATCTATTATTGTTTATATTAGTGTTGATTTTGTTTTTGTGGCAATAAATCTCTCTCTCTCTTCCGATACTATAGGCCGCGAGACGAGACCGTTTATCTTTCAGTTTCGTAGCGCACATAAATGAACTACCTGAGAATGATTTTAAAATGTTCCTTAGAAATTTAGTAACAAATAATGACTTGTTCCCATTTCCAAAAGTTGCACGTTTTACGGAAAAGACGCTTTTACCACCAGAAATATGCGCTACGATTTGTCCTATATTCTCTGCTTTTCCGGTATCATGGACCAATGAACGAAGACTTCTGCATGATGTAACAATTGAAACTGATCAGCTGTAGGTGGATCCCCCGTGATCGGATGAATATTAGATGTACTGCTCGCTTTTGCGTTGAGTAGCCTTTCCATACGGTAGTTTTTCAGTTATTATTAGTTGATTTCTTGTAAGAAGGTGTTAAAAAGTGTAAGTAAGCTATTAAACACTTATATATCTTTACCATAGATAGCAATTTTAGTTAGATAGATAGATAGTTTATTTCGAAAACTCCATAACAAACCTAAATTTATAATAGAGAATTCTGGACGGCAAGCAAAACCTACAAAAAAGTTTAAAACATGAAGTATCTCATGTGCCTGCCCACCAGCACGCACACAAAAACACAAGCCCAATTAAATGAGGCTTGGGCCAAACTTAAAAAACAAAATACACGATAGTAATAAACTTTCGGGCTGTTGTACTCTCTTTCAACAATTACGTTGATAATGACCAATACCTTCAACCTCATGCAAAGATAATGTGGGGAGTGGAATGTAATAAATTTGCGACGATAGTCATACTCATGAAGCCATGGAAGCTTTAAGAAAAACCAAGCCATGAAAAACTACACTGATTGCTAGATTGGGCATTGCGGAAAAGGTGATAAGTGGTTTATTATACAAACAAACGCAAAACCATGGCGGCAAATTCGGTGTGCGGACACTCATAAAAGCAATTATCAGGAAATGAGCACTATAGCTCATAAAACGTTGCTAAATAGCTACGGTACGGTACCGTAACTCCCAAGGTATGCTAGACCTAGAATAATATGTCTCAAACAACGATATTTTCATGCATGTATGAAAGGTTTATGATTAATTGAATGACGATTCTTGACTATTCAGCAGACTTATACCACTATATAGGGTACGGCATATTTGATTCAGAAAATAATGGCTGTTTCTGAAATGCACATTTGTGTGAAAGAGGGGAGAATAACCAAGTTAACTGATGTCAGTTGGTCTAAATTCATAGAGTCGACAGGAACCTGGGAAGTATAAGTTATAAGTATAAGTTTATTTCGACTCCATAATCAGCATAACAATACATTTGACAGATAAACCCAAATAAATAAAAACTGATTATGAAATCAGGGGAGCAAACAAAACCTTAGATAAGGTTTATAACGTACAAAATATAAGATGGAAGGTTTTGCCAAGAGGAAGTGGTAAGTGTTTACTCATCTAAAATTATTAAGTTATTTCACACACGCTCACATGCACCCACCAGCCACATACACACACAACCACTGAGAAGTTATTTAAGTAAAACGAGATAAATTTAGGGTATACTATACAGTAAACAAAAAATAAATAAATACTAGGAAAGAAAAAAAAATTATTTGCCACACCATATTGCTATTTTTGTAATGGTTGCCATTGCCAAATTGATCGATCTTCTAATCGTTAATTAAAATATAAAAGGAATATTCTATTGAAAACATATTGCCAAGCTGATTATAGTTGGAGTCAAACGCCAAGTTGCCCAACCAAAGTTGCCAGAATTGGGTGCATGAAGAGGTGGGCGAGCCCATTTCATTCCCCAAATTAGAGCCTATTATAGTCCAGATTGTAATAAGTAATTAAATTTACCGGTAACAGTGAAATTACTATAATTAAGTAAAGTAGGAAATAAAACCGCGAGTAGATGTTTCAATGATTGGGTGAATGGGGAACGCTCTGAACTATTTATTACAGGCAAAAAATAATTGTTTATTTAAATGGGATGTATTGTCATTATATAGCGATGGATAGATGATCTATGATGACATTCTGTTGGGGCAGGGAAAAATTTATCACACCATGCAAAAAAACACACAAAATTTTACTATCTATACCTTGGCCAACAAGTCAACTCAAACACCATGCCTTAACATAAAATGCATGCATACATAATTGATATAAAAACCACATCCAATAACAATGACCCACAGCGTGAAGTGATAGAATGTGTGCAGTTATTTAAAGAAAATATCATCCGGGTACGTTATCCAATATATTTAAAAAAATATATATATACTCATGCATGTCACAATACCATTTCTTTGGTGCTGGACTAGTTCTGGCCAAGTTGTGGCAAGATATAACAATATTATTATAGCTGTTCAACATTTTCATTAAAACAATAATGTGCAAGTGTGGAGTGTCCCAAGTTTTTGTCATCGAATACCACCAGTAGTAATTTTTAATATTTGGAAACTAAATGAGACTTGACTTGTTTTTGAAAAGATTTTTTGGACTTTAACGTCTTCAAATTTGAGGGAAGAGAATTTCAAAGTTTGGGTCCGGTAAAAGACAAGGAATGATGACTCACGGATTTACTAATGAAAGGTACGAATAAATCAGAACTACTTCTTCGGTTGGAGGTATTTTTGACAAGTATGTCATTAAAGAAATTGGGCAGCGCATTATTATGGAAGTCGTGAGCTAGAGATAATATTTCAAATTTCATCATATCTTCAACCTTAAGTATATTTAGTGATTTGGGGTAAGAGTCTACACTTTCACGTTTTCTTTTACAAAAAACTATTCTTAAAAAATTATTACAAATACTCTGGAGTTTTGAGACAAGTGTTTTATTACCATGAAGCCAGACTGAACAACAATATCGAATATGGCTGAGTAGTAATGATTGAAACATTGCTAGTAGAGCTGATTGATCAACACACTGGGATACTTTGGCAGAAACTGCCAGGTTTCTTTTTGTTTTTCCAATAACATGCATTATTTGTGATTTCCATGACAGATTTTCATCAAAGATAACTCCTAGAAATTTTATTTTTCTCACTCTTTCAATTTTACTGCCATTGGGCAGTAGTTTTTTTGAACAACTCACACTTTTATGCTTGCTTGGATGGAATAATACAAATTTAGTTTTGTTAGCATTCAGAGATAATTTATTAACTAACATCCAGCTATGAATGAATGTTGGTTAGTTCTTGGTTTGCAACTGTGAATAGATCTTCAAGGTTTTCCCCATGAAGAATCAAGTTAGTGTCATCAGCAAACATGATCGACTCAGAGGATTTCAGACACCTGGACATGTCATTAATGTAAGCTAGAAAAAATAATGGGCCAAGTAAAGATCTTTGTGGAACTCCGTGTTTCATGACACAAATATTTGTAGAGAATGAGTTGTCATATTGCACAATTTGCTTCCTGTCTTGAAGGTAGCTCTTGATCCAATTGAATGGAACGCCTCTAATTTCATTGTGATGGAATGGTCAATGGTGTCAAAAGCTTTTGAGATATCAAGAAATATTCCAATTGCATGTTGTTTGCATTCAGTTTTCCGTACCAAAACATTAGCAGCCATAGCAGTGGAGTGATGCTTGCGGAAGCAATGATAAGTTATGCCGGAGTTGAAAGAGAAGTAGCATTGAAGCAATTGAAAGGTGAGAAATCAAGTTGTAGACCGACAGTCGATGTTTAAAAATATAGTCTATAAGCATTGGTAATTAGCATTTACATGCGATACGCCTGCTATCAATGTTAGATTCAGATTCAGATATTTATTTCC